CAAATTATCTATGGACTTAAATAGAGGTGCTATTTTCAGTATAATATGATCCAACTATAATATTCCAAACAAAGAAAGCCAGGCTTTCTTTCAAGTGAATGTAAAGCACTAACAAAGCAGAAGAAAAATCAAATGTAAGGACGAAATCTACCTATGAGCAAAGGCTGTAGAACACTATGATTTTTAAATCCTGCTTTCATGATTTGGAGTGGTATAAATTACATCACAATGCTTGGACCCCCCGGCTCCCATAGTTTAAAATACTACCAGTAGACCTGTGAGGATAATAAAAGATGGTCCTTTTTAAGCAGGTCACATGTTTAGAGAATGGAATCTGCTATAAAGCTTATGTGTCTGTGTGTGTGTGTATATATATTAAATAATATATGTATTAAATATATATACATATATATTACATATATATTAAATATATATATATTTAATGAAGTTAAATCCATTTGCAAAATAATTTCATTTGATGAAGCCATTTGGCCAAGTTTAAACATACAAGGCACTGTCTGGTCATCTTTCAGTGTGGGAAACAATACATGGCAAATCTTACTAAGAAAAAAAAACCTCTTCTGGTAAGCAACTTGAGCCTAAATATTTGAATTAAATTTTAAAAATACACATGTTTAAATCAGCATTACAGAGTAAGAGCTGGAAGGTGTCTCAGTGACTATCCAGCCTAATTTCTTTGTTTTACAGAAAGAGCAGTTTCAGTGATTCAACCAAAGTCAGATAAATAAGCAGCAGGTCTGGCATTCAACCCAGATTTTAGGACTCAACTTCAGTAATTTTACCATGGTGCTTTTCCAGGTGGTGTTGTTAGTGTGTAAAGTAACTTTGGCCACTTACAAAGTGGTTTCACTTAGAGGCTCTGATGAGTCTACTTAATTAATACAATTCATGGTTACTGGTAGCCATCTACCAGTACAGCCTATCTAATCAAACCTGATCAAAAATCAAGTCCTTGATGACCACCTATTAATATGTGGGCAGCAACACAAGGAATGTAGAAGCATAAGACATGCTTTATATCCAAATACTTCAAAGCTACTTGAAATAAAGCTACCAGCTGAAACACTGTCTAAATCATGATGATGAATATGTGGTGCAAATCACAGATGCTCCTCGACATACCATGGGGCTATATCCAGAAAAATCCATTATAAGTTGAAATATCAAGTTGAAATGCATTTAATACACCTAACCTACTGAATGAACATCATAGCTTAGCCTAGCCTACCTTAAATGTGCTAAGAATAGTTACATTAGCCTGTAGTTGGGCAAAATTATTTCAAAAAACACAGGCAACACAGTACACTATAGAATATCTGTTGTTTACCCTCAGGATGACATGGCTGATAGGAGATACTGCTTGCTGCCACTGCCCAGTGTCAGGAAAGTATTGTACCGTATATCACTAGCCCAGGAAAAGGTCAAAATTTGAAGTACGGTTTCTACTGAATGTGTATCATTTTTGCAGCATCATGAAGTTGAAAAGTTGGCTGGGCGCGGTGGCTCACACCTATAATCCCAGCACTTTGGGAGGCCGAGGCGGGCGGATCACGATGTCAGGAGATCGAGACCATCTTGGCTAATATGGCGAAACCTCGTCGCTACTAAAATTACAAAAAAAAATATCCAGGCATGGTGGCGGGCACCTGTAGTCCCAGCTACTCGTGAGGCTGAGGCAGGAGAATAGCATGAACCCGGGAGGAGGAGCTTGCAGTGAGCCGAGATCGCACTACTGCACTCCAGCCTGGGGGACGAGCGAGACTCCATCTCAAAAAAGAAAAAAAACAGAAAAATCATTAAGTTGAACCATCGTAAGTTGGGGACTGTCTTAGTGTCAAAATATTTCAGAAAAGGACACCATCTCTAAAAAAAAAAAAAAAAATATATATATATATATATATATCAAAAATTAGCCAGGTGTGGTGGCACACGCATGTAATTCCTAGCTACTCAGGAGGCTGAGGCAGGATAACTGCTTGAGCCAAGGGGTTCGAGGCTGCAGTGAGCTATGATGGTCCCATTCCACTCCAGCCTAGGTGACAGAGTGAGACTCTGTCTCAAAAAAAAAAAAAAAAAAAATCAAAAAAGGCTCAGGATGGCCAGGTATTCAAGTAAATGAAGAGTTCCATTTCCAGCCTTGAGAGAATAAAAACTACAACTGGATCAGCCCACTGTAAACAACAGTTTCAGAGAGTAGACAGCAGGAAGCCCAGTACTGTGATCAGAGAAAAACGGAGAAATCAATGAGGTGAATTTTGTGATCCCCCATTTCTGTCTAGAGCCATTTACCAGATTTCAGTGCAGGGTGGGGAAATGCAGAGTATATGGGTCTTGTGGAGCTGTGGAGATAAAGATCAGAGTTCAAAGAGGCTGCAGCACCTGAAATGTGCAGTGCAGAGTATCTGAGAGAAGGGTGCTATGTAGAAAAAGAGGTTCAGAAATCTCAGAGGGGGTCTATTTGTGTCTTTAGCTCTAAACTAAGCATTCACAGTGTGAAAGTCCTTGGGTCAAAGAATAATCAGGAAAGTGTTAGCTGAACAACTATCAAAATTATCACAGGGCTAGAAGATATTTAAGATGTGAACAAATATAGTGGAGAGAACTCATTCAGCTCCCAGGGAATTCCATGCCTTAAGAACAGGGCTGGACTAGAGCTAGAATGCCCCAGGAAAATCAACCTCTCAGACTGAACCTGAACAGGGAAATAGAAAACACACATTTTCTGTATTTGGAGATCTTAACTCTTCTCACTCAGTAATTAACAGTAAACGTAGAGAGAAAATCAGTAAGTCACAGACATCAACACCATCAGCTAACATGACCTAATTAATATTTGTAAAACATTACAGCCAATCACTGCAGAAGGCAAATTATTTTTAAGGATACACTGACTAAGATAAATTGGGTCATAAAACAAGTCTAAATACATTTAAGATAGCTGAAAGGAAACACAACATTTTCTAATCACAACAGAATTAAGTTTAAATATCAATGGCAAAAAGTTATCTGGAAAATCTTCAAATACTTAGAAATTAAACATTGAACTTCTACAATAATTAGCACAAAGTTCAAAAAAGTACAAGATAATTTAGAAAATATTCTGAACTGAATGAAAATTAGAACGTGGATATTAAAATATGTGAGATGTAACTAAATAAATGTTTAAATTTTAGTGTTAAATGCTAACATATTTTTAAAAAGATGATCTAAAATTGAAGATCTAAGCTTGCATCTGAAGAAGCTAGAATAAGAGTAAATTTAATCCAAAAGTAGACTAAATAATAAAGGTACAAGCAGCAATCAGTGAAACAGAAAAAAGTCTAAGAAATTTAGAACTGGTTCTTTGAAAGATAAATAAAATTGACAAAATTCTAATTAGACCAAGTAAGATAAAAAGAAAGCACAAATTGGTCATATCAGGAATGTCTTATAGACATTAAAATAAGGGAATATTTTAAACAATGTTATGCAAATAAATTAGACAATTTAGATGAAGTTGACAAATTCCTTAAAAGACAAATTGTCAAAACGGACATAAGAAATAGAAAAATTGGCCAGGTGCAGTGGCTCACGCCTGTAATCCCAGCTCTTTGGGAGCCCAAGGTGGGTGGATCACGAGGTCAGGAAATCAAGACCACCCTGGCCAACATGGTGAAACCCCGACTCTACTAAAAATACAAAAATTAGCTGGGCATGGTGGTGTGCGCCTGTAATCCCAGTTACTTGGGAGGCTGAGGCAGGAGAATCATTTGAACCCGGGAGGCAGAGGTTGCAGTGAGCTGAAATTGTGCCATTGCAATCCAGCCTGGTGACAGAGTGAGATTCCATCTCAAAAAAAAAAAAAAAAAGAAAAATTGGAACAGCCTTGTATCTGTTAAAGCTTCTCAGCCTCAAACCCACTCATTTGACCTGCTTTATGATAGTGGAGCTGGGTCTTGTCAACATTTCTCCTGTGTCAGGCGGCATACTTAAGTTTTATCAACAGAAGTTACTAAAGGGACACTGCAGGAGGAAGGAGCTTCTCTTCTCTGTCCCGGTGTGCTTTTTCCTTCTTGCTTCTGTGGCATGTGGCTACTAGCAAGCAGCATTTGGGACACTCAGTGAAGCACCTCTTCCAGTAGGAGCTGGAACAACCAGTGGCACTTACTCTGCAGGGATTTTCACCAACAACCCTGCAGGTAGTTTCCTGAAAGTTTCACCAGCACCACAAAGGGTGGCTTCCTAGTGAGTTTCAGCAGCACTCCAGAAGGAGCTTCCCAATGAGTCTGACACATACCCCAGAAGACAGTTTCCCACTGCCAGCCCCAGCACACAGCATCTCAGCAAACTCTAGGCCATTCCAGGGTCACACTATATCAACACTATATCATCTGCAGTGAGATCTGAGCCTCAGTCATGTAAGGAGGATCTCTTCCGAGTTTGTTGCCCTGTAAGTACCCTGCCCCAGCCTAGGAAGTGGCTGGTCTCTACATCTGCTCTTCCTGTATTCTTTGGAGTTCTCTCTACCTCTTAGTGGCTAATCTCATTACTAATTAATAATTCTTAACATTAGATTGGTCCTGGCATGGTTTCTGTCTCCTGATCAGACCCTGACTGACATAACTGATGAATTCTAAGGTTTAAGAACCTCACAAACTTTCAGAGAATAAAGAAGGAGGCAGCATTTCCAAACTGAATTTATGAGGTATCACCCTGCCACCAAACCAGATAAAGACATTAGGAGAAAATAAAACTAGATCAATATTCCACAGGAACACAGACACAAACACTTTTAGCCAAATATTGACAGATTAAATTCACCAGTACATAAACAGGGTAATAAACCCCACTTGGTCATGACAGATCTCATGAATGCAAAGTTGCTTTAATATTTGAAAATCAAACCATGTGATATATCACATTAACAGAATAAAGAAGAAAGACAGTATAACTATCTCGTTAGATGTAGAGAAAAAGCATTTAACAAATTCAGTACTCACACTTAATGGTGAAAGAGACGCTTCCTAAGATGAGGAACAAGGCTGATACATCTGCTCTTACCACTTCTCAACATTGTACTTGAAGTCCTGGTCAGTGCAATAAGGCAACAAAAGCATCAGAAATACAGCAGAAATATTGAAAAGGAAAAAGCAGAATTGTCTATATTCACAGATTACATAATTATATATGTAGAAAATTCTAAAGAATTTACCCAAAAAAAGCTAAACTAATAAGTGAATTTAGCAAGGGAGCAGGACTGCAGGTCAATATGCAAAAAACCAGCTGTGTTTCTATATATGAGCAACAAATAATAAACACCATTTACAATAGCATCAAAGACATAAAATATTTAAGGATACATTTAATAAAAAACATCTTCAAGATCTGTATGCTGAAAACTACAGAAACTGCTGAGAGAAATTATAGACTTAATACATGAAAAGGTGTAACTGCTCCTCAGCAAATGCCAAATAACTGAAATCGTAACAGTCTCTCAGACCATAGTCCAATCAAATTAGAACTCAGGATTAAGAAACTCACTCAAAACCACACAATTACATGGAAATTGAACAACCTGTTCCTGAATGACTCCTAAGTAAATAATGTAATTAAGGCAGAAATCAAGAAGTTCTTTGAAACCAATGAGAACAAAGAGAACATACCAGAATCTCTGGGACACAGCTAAAGCAGTATTAAGAGGGAAATTTATACCACTAAATGCCCACATCAGAAAGTGAGAAAGATCTCAAACTGACAACCTAACATCACAATTAAAGGAGCCAGAGAAACGAGCAAACTAATCCAAAAACTAGCAGAAGACAAGAAATAACTAAGATCAGAGAAGAATTGAAGAAGATACACAAAAAGCCCTCCAAAAAATCAATAAATCAAGGAGCTAGTTTTTTGAAAAAATTAACAAAATACATAGACCACTAGCTAGACTAATAAAGAAGAAAAGAGGGAAGAATCAAACAGACACAATAAAAAATGATAAAGGGATATCACCACTGACCCCATAGAAATACAAACTACCATCACAGAATACTATAAACACTTCTAGGCAAATAAACTAGAAAATCTAGAAGAAACGGATAAATTTCTGTACACATATACCCTCCCAACACTAAACTAGGAGGAAGTCGAATCCCTGAATAGACCAATAACAAGTTTTGAAATTGAGGCACTAATTAATAGCCTACCAACAAAAAAAGCCCAGGACCAGATGGATTCACAGTCAAATTCTACCAGAGGTACAAAGAGGAGCTGGTATCATTCCTTCTGAAACTATTCCAAATAATTGAAAAGGAGAGACTCCTCCCTAACTCACTGTATGATGCGTCATCCTGATACCAAAAACTGGGAAGAAACACAACAAAAAAAGAAAACTTCAGGCCAATATCCCTGATGAACATCAACAGGGAAATCATCAATAAAATACCGGCAAACCGAAACCAGCAGCACATCAAAAAACTTATCCACCACGATAAAGTCGGCTTCATCCCTGGGATGCGAGGCTGGTTCAACATATGCAAATCAATAAACATAATCCTCACATAAACAGAACCAAAGACAAAAACCACATGATAATAGATGCAGAAAGGGGCTTTGATAAAATTCAACATCCCTTCATGTTAAAAACTCTCAATAAACTAGGTATTGCTGGAACATATCTCAAAATAAGAATAGCTATTTATGACAAACTCACAGCCAATATCATATTGAATGGGAAAAAGCTGGAAGCATTCCCTTTGAAAACCAACACCAAGGCAAGGATACCCTCTCTCAACACTCCCATTCAACATAGTATCAGAAGTTCTGGCCAGGGCAATCATGCAAGAGAAAGAAATAAAGGGTATTCAGATAGGAGGAGAGGAAGTCTAATTGTCTCTGTTTGCAGATAACATGATTCTAAATTTAGAAAACCCATCATCTCAGCCCAAAAACTCCTTAAGCTGATAAGCAACTTCAGCAAAGTCTCAGGATACAAAATCAATGCGCAAAAATCACAAGCATTCCTTTACACCAACAGCAGACAGGCAGAGAGCCAAATCATGAATGAACTCTCATTCACAATCACTACACAGAGAATAAAATACCTAGGAATACAGCTAACAAGGGATGAGAAGGATCTCTTCAAGGAGAACTACAAACCACTGCTCGAGGAAATAAGAGAGGACACAAACAAATGGAAAAACATTCCATCCTCATGGATAGGAAGACTCAATATCGTGAAATGCCCATACTGCCCAAAGTAATTTATACATTCAATGCCATTCCCACCAAACTACCATTGACACTTTTCACAGAGTTAGAAAAAACTACTTTAAATTTAGTCTGAAATCAAAGAAGACCCCGTATAGCCAAGAAAATCCTAAGCAAAAAGAACAAAGCTGGAAGCATCAGGCTAGCTGACATCAAATTATACTACAAGGCTACAGTAACCAAAACAGCATGGTACTGGTACCAAAACAGACATATAGACCAATGGAACAGAACAGAGACCTCAGAAATAGCACCACACATCTACAACCATCTGATCTTCAACAAACCTGACAAAAACAAGCAGTGGGAAAAGGATCTCCTACTCAATAAATGGTGCTGGGAAAACTGACTAGCCATATGCAGAAAACTGAAACTGGACCCCTTCCTTACACCTTATACAAAAATTAACTCAAGATGAATTAAAGACTTAAAAGTAAAACCCAAACCATAAAAACCCTAGAAGAAAATCTAGGCAATACCACTGAGGACATATGCATGGGCAAAGACTGCATGATGAAAATGCCAAAAGCTATTGCAAAAAAGCCAAAATTGACAAATGGGATCTAATTAAACTAAAGAGCTTCTGCACAGCAAAAGAAATTATCATCACAGTGAACAGGCAACCTACAGAATAAGAGAACATTTTTGCGGTCTACCCATCTGACAAAGGTCTAATATCCAGAATTTACAAAGAACTTAAACAAATATACAAGAAACAAACAAACAACTCCATCAAAAAGTGGGCAAAGAATATGAACAGACACTACTCAAAAGAAGACATTTATGCACCCAACAAACATGAACAAAAGCTCAACATCACTGATCATTAGAGAAATGCAAATCAAAACCACAATGAGATACCATCTCGTGTCAGTCAAAATAAAAATATTAAAAAGTCAAGAAACAATAGATGCAGGAAAGGCTGTGGAGAAACAGAAGCGCTTTTACACTGTTGGTGTGAATGTAAATTAGTTCAACCATTGTGGAAGGCAGTGTGGTGATTCCTCAAGGATCTAGAACCAGAAATACCATTTGACCCAGCAATGCCATTACTGGGTATACACCCAGAGGAATATAAATCATTCTACTATAAAGACACATGCACATGTTAAGTTTATTGCAGCACCATTTACAATAGCAAAGTTATGGAACCAACCCAAATGTCCATCAACAATAGACTGAATAAAGGAAACGTGATACATATACACCATGGAATACTATGCAGCCATAAAAAAGAATGAGATCATGTACTTTGCAGGGACATGGATGAAGCTGGAAGCCATCATCCTCAGCAAACTAACACGGGAAGAGAAAACCAAACATTGCATGTTCTCACTCATAAGTGGGAGTTGAACAATGAGAACACATGGACACAGGGAGGGGAACAACACATACCAGCGCCTGTTGGGGGGTGTGGGGTGAGAGGTGAGGGGAGGGAACTTAAAGGATGGGTCAGTAGGTGCAGCAAACCAGCATGGCACATGTATACCTATGTAACAAACCTGCACCTTCTGCACATGTATCCCAGAACTTAAAGTCAAAAAAATTTTTTTAAAAAGGTGTAACTGCTCATGGATTTGAAGGGTCCATATTAGTCAGATATCAGTTCTTTCCAGATATATCTATAATTTAAATGTAATCAAAATGAAAATTCCATCAGGTTCTTTGTAGAAAGAGAGAAAATAATTTTCAAAACATTTAAAAAACAAACAAACATGTATCTGGAAGATGTAAAGAGCTCTTATAACTCAATAGAAAAGACAACAGAATTTTTTTAGATGAGCAAAAGATTTGAATAGTTATTACATAAAACAAAGTATATAAATGTCTATTAAGTCCATGACATCTGCTCAACAGCTTTAGTCATCAGAGAAATGTACATACTATACACCCACAATTAAGGGTTAAAATTAAAAAGAACGACAACACAAGGCACTGACAAGAATGCAGAGTAACTGGAACTTTTAAACATTGCTGATGGAAGTGTAAAACCATACAATCATTTTGGAAAACAGTTAGGTAGCTTCTTATAAAGTTAAACATACAATTAACATAAGACCCAGAAATTTCACTCCTCTGTATTCATCTTAAATAGAAATATATTTGACACAAAGATTGTAAATGTGGACAGTTTTAATTGTAATAGCAGAAACTGGTGGGGAGGAAACAAATTGTGGTATATTCATACAATGTGTGAAAAGTCTTCAGAAATAAGAAGGAATAAACCACTGAATCACACAACATGAGGACAAATCTCAAATCATTATGCTGACAGAAAGAAACCATTCATAAGAATACATAGTACATGATGCCACTTTCATGATGTTCTGGAACAAAGAAAACTAACCTATAGTGATAGAATTCGTATCAATAACTGCCAACAATTGGGAGTGAAAGGAACTGACTGAGCAGGTATACAAGAGAACTTTCTAGAGGGTGATGGAAATATTCTGAAACTTGACTGGAGTGTTGGTTACATGGGTATATCCATTTATCAAAACTCACTGAATTGTATACTTAAAGTGGGAACATTTTATTGTAAATAAATTATGACTCTACAATGTTAGTTTTAAAAATATTAGATATATCAGCTGGAAATCACTTGGTTTTAACTGAAAAATGTTCTCTGTAACCTTATTTATTCTAGTACTTAGCTTCTTGTCTTCAAAAGCAATGTAAAACTTCACTGTAGCTAAGCCTATGTTAGACTCTTACAAATTCCTAAAGAGTAGAATTAGTTCAATGAGTAATTCTTACAAATAATTCTAGATTCACTTTACCCACATGAATAACAGATTTGCTACTTAGAGCCACATTAATGCTTAGTATAAATCATACTACATGATAAACATGCTCACATATATTTAAATATAAACATATTTGGACTTTAAAAAGTAAGTACATCTTAGGAGATGATCCAATTCTGGGAGTTAGCAAATGGCTAAGTGCTCCCCTCCTTCCACACATAAGGAGAGAAATCATTCATCAGCTGTGTGAGTCTGTTACCAGTGCCACATGTGAGGACAGACCACAGCACAGTGAGATGAGGCAGAGGAAATGCCTACAACAGCATTGGCTAGATCAGGTTTTCTTCCTTCTTCCAGCCACCTGGAAAAATGTTCACAGAGAGTTATAGTGGTTACAAGACCAAAACTTGGAATCAAAAGAATTAAATAATGCAAATAACCCAATTAATCTGATAATATCTATTACTGCAGAAATAGCGTTAGAGGTAGTTTATTAAAGAGGCATTTTTTCAATCATTCCACTCATCATATCCTACATTTCAAAAGTATTATCTTAAAAAGGAAAATTTAAAAAAATACTTTTTAGAGCACAAAACATAACAGGTTGAAGTGGTTTTCAAAAAGCTACTTCCAGTGTTCTTCAGCTTTCTATTATGGCAGCATCATCTTGTGCTGAAGACACTGGCTCATTTGGACACACGGTCAGCATGCATAAATACATCTCCATGATGATCAAGTTACTGCCATGTGCAGGACCGCTTGCAAGTAAGATGAAGAGAGCTACCTTAGTGTTAGCAGCAAGGCTTCGAGGTCTGTACTACTCAAACCACTCCTAAGGGTAGGGCCAATGCACAGTTTGAACATACCAGGTAATGTTAAAGATTCACCAGTTTTCCCCTTGGAATTAATTCTAACAAAATCTTCCAGGATAAATTAAAAATAAATTTCTCTCCCCATTTACTCTTCATTATTTTTAGCCTCGAAAGGCTCATATACTGTTCCAATGAAACAAGAATTGGCTCTGAACCAAAACCAAAAACAAGGGAAGAAAATCCAGAGTATTCTATGATGCCCTGTAAGTATTAGTGTGTGGCTTCCACATGAAAGTTGTCAAACTGTGCAAATTCAAAGGAGTGAGTTCCAATTGCAGCCCAGCCATTCTTCGGAAAATTCACAGGGATGTCTGTCCACAGAGACTTGTCATTCAGCATGCCAGAGGCAAAACGACCCTAGAGTAGAAAGAAACACATTCCTTGAAACCATATGAAAATGGTCCTCTGAAGTCTGTTTCTTGATCATGTATGGCCCACTACTTAGTGGAGCAAATGTACTTCTCACTCAAGACTTAACCACAGCAAAACACAAATCCACAAGTTTGAGCAAAAGTTTAAAATAAAGAAGAAAACTCCGGGAAGAAATTCTTACCTACCTACTTAAATTGTTCCCAACGTACAAGGAATACCTCAATATTTCCTGTGCTCCATGAAAATGTAAAACCAACAAAAATGCAAAACTTTTCGTGCATTATTATAAAGTTTTAGACAAAAGCTCATTAAAATAAAAAAAGCATTATTTATAAGTAGTCACATGTACAAGTGTTGTGGCTAACAGCCACCAACTCTTCAGACATGACTGTGCTGGAGCCAAAACATCTGCTTCTACCTCATTGCTTCTCTAAGGTTTTCATTAAGCAGCCTCTGCCCAGCCAGAAGAAAAATAATTAGCCTTTGCTTTTGTGTTGTGTTGCCATGAACAGAATATCACTTCAAAGCCATATGAAGCTCCTACCCTTAAGCTGAAAAAACAGTAACCATCAGTTAAAGTGATGATGGAGTAGGGTGCAGTGGGTAGAAGAAGGGAGGCATCTATAAGGTGTTACTTACTGGTTACTGACAGTGAAAGAAAAAATTACACCTTCCTCAGAAGCTTGCCATTCTACTTAGCTCAGTGCCTGGCACATGGTAAACAATAAATCTCAGGTCTTATTATCTTTATGATAATACATTTATGAGCATATATTCACAGCATACTAACTACAGCCAATCATTTAAAACTAGCTACTCTCAAAAGGTAAAGAGCTCAAAATTCAAAGCATTGGGCCAAGAACCAGAATAAATCTGCTTTTAAGTCTTGGAAGGATAATGTAATGGACCTTAATGTAGTTCTTTTAATTTTATGCATGGAAACACTGAGGCTTAATAGATTAAAACTCAAAGTCACAGATTTTTGCTCCAAGTCACTTAGCTCCAAATTCAGAGCCACATTCCTGTCACTACAGACTTGCACAGCTATCTTCAGCTCTAGAAGTGCTTACTGAACATCTTCTGCTGCCATCAAACACTCAGTATTAACATTGAGCCAAGGGACTCATATCACAAATCCCATTAAGCACAAAACCTGTCTAAGAGGACCTCATCTCTCCTGCCTCCCCAGGCTTCAGCCACCCCAGCCTCCAGGCTGCTCTTCACACAATGTCAGCTACACCTGCCTTTTGAACCAGCCATGTGGTCTGCTCAAATTGTTCTTCCCATCATTCAGGTCTGTACTCAAGTACCACCCACTCAGTGAGGTCTTTCCTCACCTCCCTGGCTAGAGAATCAGGGTAACAGAGCTACTTTATCTTATGACTCTATTTTTTCTTCATAATTATAAACTTATTTACAAGCTTACTATCTCAGGATAGGGCTCAGCAAACTATGACCTACATGCCAGTGACCTTTTTTTTTTTCATAAACAAAATCTTATTGAAACACAACCACATCCATTCATCTACATATTGTCTACAGCTTTTTTCTCACAACAGCAGCAGAATTGGGTGGTGTCAGCAGAGACCACGTGGCCCACAAAATCTAAAATATTTACTCTCTGGCCCTTTACAGAAAAAGTTGCCAACTCCTGTCCTAGAAGAATATATGCTCTAAAAGAGCAGGAATCTTGTCTATTTCATTCACTGCTGTATCCCTAGGACTTTGTAGAGTGCATATAGTAGGGGCTTAATAAAAATGTGTTGAATGTAAGAATGTAACACATTTAACCCTCAAGACAACCTCACAGAAGTTATCTGCATTTTACAGATAAGGAAACGGATACTCAAAGAAGTGGAATAACTTGCTAGAAGTCTCAGTATGTGTTAGTGAGGAAATACTAATGCTGTTCTTCTGGTTCCAAACACTCCTACTCGTAAGAATATTAACTTGACTCATTAAGTGCTTACCACATATCAGGTACTATATATATATATATATTTTTTTTTCTCATTGAATCTTCATAAGAAAAGTGTTCTTCATGATACAATGGATGGGAAAATTGAAGCTGCCCAATATAAAATACTTGCAAGTAGAATACAGTACACTTCAAAGTCCATTGTGCAACAGAGCTGGGACACATCACCTGACAAGTGCTGAGAAGAATTCAACAGGTGGCTGACAGTGACAAAATCCTCACATTAGCTGAAATTTGGAATATGGGCAACATAGAAGATGATGTTTTGTTTTTTTTCATTTATGCAAAGAAGATTTATATGTCAAATACTGTTTAATGCACTGGGAATTTAAGACGAACAAGAAGACAAGGTCCCTGCTCTTATGGAGCTTATATTCTAGTAGGAGGAGATGGACAGACATGCACACACACACAAAATGAGAGCTAAAGGATAAGCAGCATGTAAAAATTAAGCCAGGTCAAAGTGACAATGGGTGCCTGACAGACTACTTCACTGCCGATAGTTGGAGAAGACCCTCAGAGTATGTGGCAAAAGTTGAGATTCAAGAGGAAGCAGAATGCCCATAGTTGAAGAAACACAAAATAATAGGAGTAGGGGAGTGAGGTGGGTGCAAACCAGCAAAGTCCTATCCATCCTAGTAGCAAGACAAGAGCCAATTTCTAAAAGTAGTGAATCACATTGTATTAAAGACACACCAGAAAAAACAGCCAGAATAGTGAGGAGTGGCTGTATCAGAAGTACAGAACACAGAATGGGGGTCAAGAAGAAGGAACAGGATGTGAGGCAGCTGTTTTCAGTAAGTCCTGTTGACATTTTAACCAGGTATGCAAAGTACCTGAAGAAAATTAAGAAAATCTTTTAAATCTCATTCACGATTTCAAAAAAACTCATACAGTTACTAAAACAAACTTAATCAAAGGTGTGCAAAAATAAAACTGAAGGACCTAGTGGCAAATCTTAATAAATGGTGAAATACAGCATGCTTTTGTTCCTATGTTCTCTCATGGGGAAACACATTATTATTAAAAAAAATGTAATTTTTTCCCAAATTGATGTATAAATTTAATGTAATACCAGCACCATTTTTCAAGTAATTGAAAGTTTGTTTTTTTAAAGTCAAATCGAATAATATATATAGTGAAATAGCAAAGATAATTTTGAAAAAGAAACAATGAGGAAGTTGCCCCACCAGATATCCATTCATGCATTTACCAAGTATTATTTGGACTCTTGCTCTGCCTGGCTGTCAGGCACTTTTCTAGGTGCTACAGAGCCAGCAGTGAGGAATATGGAGAAAGGCCTGTCACTAAAGGAGCTATGTGCAAGTGAAGGGAGTAGGAAAACACATTAACAATCAACAGAATATATGTGACGTCACTTGGGATAAAACCTTTAGAGAAAAAAAAAGCAACAGAAAGGAGTTAGAGAGTGAGATGCGGCTATGTTTTCTATCAAGTGGTCAGGTAAGAAAACTCTGAAGGAAGCAAGGGAGTAACTGTATCATCAAAGCCTTTAGAATGTTAACACCAATTAAAAGTGTGATTTCGGATAATAATAGACAAACAATAAGGAGAACAGAAAAAAGCTCAGAAACAAGTATATGCATATGTGCTGATTTGTTACATCAAAAAGGTAGCCTTTAAATTATGGGCAAAAGGATAGTCTATTGTAATAAATGATGGCTATCCATTTTTTTAAAAATTATATTCAATACTTCCCCTTAAAATTCACAAATAAATTTCTGATGTATTAAAAACTTACACATAAAAATAAATCCTAAACATTTTTTAGTTTGGGGTAAAAATGTTCCTAACCTTGAGAAACAAGAAGGCCTTATTTAAAACATGAAACATAAAGGCAATGAATAAAAAGTAAAACATTTGACAGTATCAAAATATAAAACTTATAGTCATCAAAAATACCATAAGCAAAATTAAAATACACAAGATGGGAGAGCATAGTTGTGACGTATGTAACAGACAATGGGTTACTATCCAGAATACATATTAAATTCACACAAATTTGCCAGAAAAAGACAACACGATAGAAAAATGAAGAAAGAAAGTGAACAGGCAATTCAGAGAAGAGAAAATACAAATAGCCAATAAACATTACATGTGCAAGCTCCCTAATTATCAAGGAAATACAAATCATATCTATGAGTTTGGAAAAAATCTTCAAATTCAATAATAGTGAATATTATTATAATTGCTATAAAATGGCTACAATTTGGCTAGTGTAGTATAGTTAAATAATCTATGCTACATCCAAACAAATCTTCAATATACATTATTATTAATGCTAAAAAAATTAGTGCTGTCATTTTGGTGGTTGAGAGGAGAGAACAAATTCCAAAGTTATTGGAATCTGATTTTTAATTTCTATTGCACCCTAAACAAAACTGTGAGGGAGCTATCTTGGGAGAGACCAGCACATTATACACAAAAATTTCTCTGCACAGCATCCCTTGGAAGCACTGTCAAGCAGTAACTCATGATCACCCAGTGATTCTGAGGAATATTTTTATATTTCTATTATATTAAAATTAATCTGGTATTTTCTCTGACAAAAAATATTCATGGAAACCAATTTCTAAAAAACTATGCTTATAATTGAAAAGCAAATTATTCTTAACCATCAAACATAAATGTATATGACTTTGCTTACATCTATAAGCTCCATGTATAGTCTTGGTTCAAGCAAACTTGAAAAAATAGTTCAATTATTGACTTTGTCAATTATGCCTCAGTTTAAAAAACAAAATCAAATTTTTAAAAAAATAGTGACCTGATAAAGTCAACTGCTGATGGTTCTCACATAGGTTACCCTCACACACATAACCACCCTAGGGATGAGTGGCTTCCCAGCATCAAGGCAGATTCCTTGTCCCTCTTCATTATATGTCACAATTTCCCCCTCCTATTTTATAACAGAAAATTCTAGAAAGACACAACAAAAGAATATTTTACCTCCAGATCCTCCAATCAGCAATACCTACCTTAATAGTTAATGTGAGTGTATACCATGTTTTTGCTGTAACTTCAACATGTCCTAAAGCATATATAATCCATCCAGCTGTAACACAAAAAGATTATCCTAATAGATATAATTTTGAGATCTCAGTCACAGAGTCATTTAATTCAGTGGGGTTCTCAAGTGTCATCTGTATGTAGTAAAGTCAGCCTCAATAGAGAGCTGTCCCTTCATTCCCAGATCTACAACTGAGTTAAGCCAAAACATTTTTCATTTAGCCATGCATTTAATAGCATATACTGAGATCCTACTCTAAGCTGTATATTATATGTGAGCTCACAACAGAACCAGTGAAATAAACTTAAAAGCCAGTGACAGTATGAGGTGTTAGCATCTATAGTTCAAGTACACATTTATACATGACTGGATTGAATACGGAAGACAAGAGAGAGATAATATAAAATTTCCAACCAGTCAAATTGGTTACATGGTAATAGTATTCACTCAGAGGGAGAAAATAATAAGTTAATTTCTAGAATTACTGTTATTTGAATGCCCATGAGAACCCCAGGATAAAATTTCAAGTAGACAGTTTAAAACAGACAGTGGGGACTGCAGACACAGATTTAAATTCCTACTTCCAGTTTTGCCACTAACTAGCTTTGAGTCATTAGGCAAGTCAATTAACCTCACTGGTTCTCTGTTTTTTATTTCAATATCACTGAGGTAACTTCAGATTGGTAATGTTATGAATATATAACTCTTGTTCTAATATCCTTACTACCTACTTCCTCTTTCATTTATATTTTATTTATGGAGTCAAAGCAAAGAGCAGCAAACTATAAAAGAGATATTTTTAAATTAAGGTAAGAGGAAAATCAAGAGACTGAGAATCAAGAAAAGTCACCACTAGTAAGGTCTAGTTTCAAAGGAGTGGTGTGTACCAAAACCAATCTGAAGTGGACACAGTTCAATCTGAACATATTTGAAGCACCTATTCTGGATAAAATATCATCCTACCTAACACAAGGGCTGTAAAGATGACTGAGAAAAATCAAGCTATTTTCAAGTATTAACTAAATTCAAAAATGAGATTTTTCCATTTTAAGCAGATCAATCCCTCTCCCTATATTTCTATAAGTACAGCAGCAACATTCTTATTTTTATTTATGGTGCTTTTATTTATGGTGCCTCCTGAGCATTCTCCCCCTACCACCACTACCTCAGATGGTTTTGATACTATCTATGCAAATCCTATCCTCACAGCCCAGTTCAACCTCACAATACCCTAAAAAGCTTTGTACAATTATTTTCCCTTCCACAGAGTTGCCCCCATCTCTAAGAATTAAATAACTTTCTATAATTGTAAACTATTTGGTATTTGCTTACATCTCTTCCCAATTAGCTGTCCAAACACCTTGGGATGAACTTTTTTATCACTCCCACAAATAACAGGTGGTCAAAGTAACATAGCCTATAAGTCATACGGTATTAAAAAAAAAAGTCACTTACCTAAATCCCCTGTAACCCTGTAAGATCCATTTGCAAAAATCCAGAAGAAAATTCCTCTGGCACTTCTAATCAAAATACCACCTTTATTTACTCTTCCTGCAATGAACACACCTCCTGTGTCAGGGGTCTCTATGTAAACATCACATTTTATAGTCAGATTCGTCCTGCAAAATAAAACGGTTGACTAATACTCTTAAAATATGCCCTTTGTAACATAGTACAGATATGTCATTTCACAGCACACGCCTCCAAACTTCTAACTGAGGTGAGAATGTGATTTGCTAAGTCTGAGCCTGTAGCAGAGATGGGCTTCAAGAATCTTTATTGACAACAGTTTTAAATGTTACATGACTTAAGTCATTTCATTGTCTATTTAAATGATTACGGGAGAATAATAGTTATGATTTTTAAGTTTCCTGAGAAAATATTTTTTTCTACAATAAAACAACTTCTCATCTTAACAATACAATATTTTTAAAAGCCACTATTGTCTATGAACAAATAAAAAGTAAAAAGTTCCACACAATTCTGAGGGAAAATGTTTATTCAAATTTCCAGCAACAAAGAGAGGTAATTAAGACAATGCTAGGAGCCTCTGGGAGAACATAAGCTATTCCAGGGCCAATTTTTACATTTAAATCCAACAAAACTTTAAAACTCCAGAAGAAAAGATCTAAAATTATTTCTCTGCAAAGACCGCAGAGTTGACTCTCTAGGAGGACTTCTCGCACCTGAACAGCACGGAAATCACCAGGAGGGCTTCTTAAACTCAGTTCACTGGTCCCACCCCACAACGTGAGTCAGTAAATCTGGGGCAGCCCCTTGAATTTGCATGTCTAACAAATTCCCAGGTGATGATGATGCTGCTTACCCAGGAATGCCACTTTGAGGACCATTTTCCCCTATGAAGTATCTGTCTATAAGGAAGCAATAAAATCCTGGTTCTAGGCTCACTGATCCACAGCAGTCTATCAAAGATGGGAAAAAGATTCAGCTGTCCAGGGACTGAGATTTTACAGCGAGCTCTCCTCCAGGTTTCCTCTTACAAATGCTACCAGGTACAACACTTTCCTTCTGGGATGCTACAACCACCCCAAACCAACATGATCTCTGAAAATATTTTACTTCCTACTCAGTATCTATCTGCAAGTAGGAAGAAAAAAGAAAGCCTGCACACAAATCAAGCAACATATCTCACATAAGACTGGAAACACCAATAAATCTATTCCAGAAATGGGTTGAGGGGAATGAGATCTAGAATTATATGGCTTTTACATTTGTATCTTATCAGTGAATTTTGCACAGTGAAATTTTACTATGTAAAGGAAAATATTACAAAAGTACCTACATCAGGTACACAGGGAGGACAATCCACACTTAATTATCTAAGCAGAGCTGGGCTACTTTACAGGAAGATCAAATGCTGAGTAACTCAAGCCCAGTCTCTCTTGCATGTCCTCCGACATCAGAGGGAGTTTTCTCTCCATAGATTATCACCAGCATGAAACCACTAGCAATCAACACTGGTTCTTCTATCCCTTACCTGCTTTCTGGTTCATCATAAGTTTGAAAGTGCTACAAATACTATCAGCACCATAAAATTATTCCATTTAGAGTTGGAATGAGAGAAGATCAAACTTTTTCCTTTTTTATATACCACATTCCAGAAAAAGTGATTCTTGTATCAGAACTTGCCAGGCAATTTCATAGATAATGAATGAAATAGAATAAAAGTGTGGTTTATTCTTCCACAGCCACAATCTCTCAGTAGTGCTGAAAGAACAAAAACTAGCCAATATATAAGGCAAATCTGATCAAAGAGAGAGTTCAGCTGTGTGCAGGTAAAGGTAATTTTGTGATTGTCTTTAAAGAATTCCAACCAATGCTCACTATCAAGATAGAAGTAGCCAGTTACACTACAATCCACTCAGTATAATCAAATTACTGTGCTGGTAAATAACTAAATCTAGGTATAAGAGAGGAAGTTCTACTCAAAACACAACTCTAAAAACTGTGAGTAATGTGCACACATTGAGAGCAGATTTACTAAAATAGCACTACAGATAAACTAGACAAATTTCCCATTTCCTACCTTTAGGAAGACGACGATTAAAATGAGGCTGTGAGATATACTCCAAAGAGAATGGGCTAGTGAGTCATACAGACCCGGCTTCTAGCCCTGGTTCTGCCACTTACCAGTGATATCTTGGGTAAATCTTACTCCAAAGATGCGGTTTCTCAGTCTGCAAGGTGGGGGCGATGATATCTCCACCATAAAGTGGTTATGTGGGAAATCCATCAAAGTGCCTACTATTATCCAATTTTTATTCCCTCCTTTTCCTACAATAAGTGGGCACAGCAGCCAGACAACAGAAATGAACAAGGGATTTGTGTGGATCTCTGAGCAGATCTGGCTGCCTCAAATAGAGGGTAGAATACTGGAAAATAACCCATAATAGATGAGACCAAATTATAAAGGGTCTTGGAAATCAGGCCTAGAAGTGGAAAACACAGGTAGCAGGGGAGAGTCACTGCATCTTCCTGAGCAGGGGAATAACATGATGAAAACAGGGATTCAGAAAGATGAAGGCAGTCCTTTCTTGACACGCATAATTGCGACTTCCTGGTTCCTTTCCTTTCAGAATGTGTCACTCTCTTCCTCTTCTACATGCTTCCCCATCCCTCATCCCCACCTCCTTATCCACTGCAATAGATCCTAGTAAAAATTGAGTATTGCTACTTAAATTGTGTAAAATCTTCAAATATATGAAGATGTGGGGGAGTAAATCTTTGAACGGTGCTATATCTCATTTCTATACTACAATTAAGGGGCTTCTCAATCTTTCTGGAGTCCCAGCCAGAAATAAGATTGAGTTTGAGTTTAGAAAGAGCCCTCTATAGTATTCAAGTGCATAGGGTATAGGGGACATCACAGAAAAAAAAAGTTTCCTATATGGTGACTTCAAAACTGGAGATCAAAACAATGGGACCCATGCCTTGGATACTTAAACCCAGCCACTGGACTTACAATAAGACCATCGTCACAAATGAGGATGCCACGAACTCCACTGCCATAATCGGAAAATCTAGGCAAAGTTTCCTCCTCAGAGACAATGGCACAAGCAGAAATTCTGCTGTGTAAAAACACAAGCCACAAATGTCATCCTAAATTAGGAAAGAATGCTTCACTGCACCTCAATAACTCTTCCTAGTGTTATAAGAGTTCCAGGGGCTCTGGATAACTGAAAGTTTCTTGAGACTTATGTCAGAGCTTGGAACTAGAATCAGGATTTCTAACGGGGAGTAAGGCACTTCAGGAGGGATAAACACTTCCTGCACACTCCACAGACAGGCAATTCAAGGCCCTTTTCAGAATTCTTTTCTCTTCCCTCTCCAGTTTCCAAGCTTTGGATATGGCTTTTTGGTGGCTTGGTATTCTTAGTACTAGCTCTAAACCTGGAATGTTTGTTTGTTTTTTTCCCGCAGTGGAATCATACTAGTTATAGGAAAAAATGAAAAAGAAACACATAAGACAGGTATAATAAGTCAGCACATAGAAATTCTGTAACTAAACTAAAGAGGAAGGGAAAGTTTTAGTTTGGCATTATATTTTATGTGAATAATATAACTTGTCTCTTTACCAGATGACTAAATAAAAAGTTAAATTCACTAGGCAACTAAAGCTGATTTGCTTTTTACTATTGCCATCTAGGGTCACCTAGTAAATAGATTTTTTAGTGACTAAGATGGTGTAATTCTATGATTGGTCCACCAGATGGCAACACCAGATCAACAAATCAACTCTCCAGCAAAACAAAAACTTAAAAACACCTCACAAATCTGTCTATTTATAAATAAATATTAAATTATAATTGGGTCCAAAAGTCCTCAGTTTTTATACTGAAATAAAATTGTTCTTGTAATAATCACTATTAAATAGGGCAAAGATGAGGGAAGGACACTGAGGCAGCAAAACAATGTGCAGCTTTGTAGTCATCACCATAATATTCAACAACCCTTAATATTACATATTACACATCTATTAGGTTCTTGAACAAGGAGGACTATTGAAAGCTCTTCACTTCAAAATGTACCTGACAATATTACAAGGGTATTTCAGCCAGATCCACATTGAGAACATCAATCTTACCAGTTGTAGTCTCCTATAATACTGATTGTATTGGATGCATCGGCAGCCCACGTAATGGGTCTCTGGTTGAGAACTTGGCGTAGCGTGAAGTGATGCTCACCAGGGTCTTCCATATTTGTAAAATATTCAAATACACCAGTTTGATCAGCAAAGTTTGGAGCTTCACTAAAAAATGGGTAATCTGTTCAGAACATAAGAAATTCTCTGTTTAGTATCAAATCCTTCAGAAGTTCTCCTTGCTGATATTTTACAGTATGTCTGAAACACTTCTGAAAGTTTTAAATAAATAAATAACATCTAAACCAAAGTTTAGGGCCTACATCTATAAAGATATATTAATTTTTGTATCATCATTACTAAATATCAAGATGATGAATTTGACATATAGATGCTGCATAATACTTAATCCAGGCATCTGGTGTAGAGGAAAAGTCATGAGTTCTGAAGTAAGTATGACCTAGGTTCAAATTCCAGCTCAGTATGTTGCCCTGAACAAGTTATTTAACTGCCCTGCATCTAAAGTTTCTTCATTTCTAGGTTTGCAGGAGGACAAGAGAATTAAAGAAAAGATAAAGTATATATAAGCCAGCATCTGGCAAGGGCTCAATAAGGGATAGCTTTATTATTTCTAATATCTGTCAAGCAAGGTTCCAAATCATGGGTCACAATCACCTGCCAAAAGAGCATAAGAAAAGCTTACTATATGAAGCATAAAATTTACAAATTTTCTTCTACTTCTAAACTGCAGCAAAAACCAGTTTGGGGCCTAAGTTATCAATCCCTTTTTAGTTTTACTAAATTAAATTTTAGTCTTAACAATAATGAATGCTGTAGAGGAGAAATTTTAGTTGTAATATCTTATAGCTCTTATACCTCATGCTTTTCTAAATGTTTTTGCATTCATTACCTCATTTGAGATATTTAGAACCCTAACAAGTATCTCCAGAGCCTAGTTTATAATATTTAACTTTAGTTTTAAATTTATATTGTAGCTCATAAAGTATTACATTTTATATCTGAAGGTTTGGAATTGCCTCTTGGTCTTCAGGGTCACAAAATATTGGTCTTGGTGCTGGCAGTTCTTCAATCTCATTAACTAGGCCATATCCCACACAAATTCCTCACTTACTGAAGGCAAAAGTCACCTTTGCTAACAGAGAACCAACCAAGCAACAGATTTTAAAGACCTATGTTTCACAAAATTAATGGGTTTATCTAAGAGGCCATTTCAAAGAGCTGGAGAAAAACAAACCACCAAGCTCCCCCTGAGGGTCACTGTTGTCTGTATTATAGTTGAGAGGACTCCACTACACAGTCCAAAAGGCCTTCTACTCCAGCCAACTAGATCATTTCCCGAGAAAGAAAGGTGAGACCCTGCAGCAGTGACTGGGAAAGGGTGATAGGAGTGTCTACCTTTAGTGGAACAAGCAGCTCTGCAGCAAACAAGAGGTTCAAGTGATGCTCCAGCAATGCCAGTTCCCTCCCTATTACTCTCCTGCTACAGACTGTAGGAGCAGATTACAAAGCCACCTGACCCTGTCTGTGAGACCCATAAACCTATAGAACACTACCAACTAGTCAACAAATTTTGTTACTTACTGACTAGGAATATAACTACAGTGACCATATCTTCTAACTGTTTTCCAAGTGGTTTTCCTAAATCACCTATAACCAAAAACTTTTCTAAGAACTTTAGGATAGATTTTCCTAGAAAATCAAGAGAGCTCAATAAAAATCTCGGAGGCACAGGATAGTATATGAGTTGGATCACCCAATGACAACATAACTGCCCATAAGCACTCAGTTCACTAGCACTGCGGAAAGACACATATAAATGTGTCTTAACCTCCACACAGAAGGAAGATGTCAGTAATGGCTAACGGGGCAGTAGCAAAGTTACAAAGTTTAAGTTTCACCAAAAGCAAATTAGAATTATAACTTTCATTCTAACAATGAACTCTATATTTTTTTCTGAAACTGAAAAATACAGGGTCCTCAAATTTAGATTTACCATAAAGTAATATAAAAAATTAGCCCTCCTTTTACCACATGAGATGTAGGAGCTAAATGAATGTGCTTTTGACAGCCACTCCATCATGCACCCAGTATGACAGGTAGAAATCAACATACTATAGAGACGAAGTTAAGTTTTAGTGAAAAATACTCACCAACATTGAAATCATCCTTATAGGTACTTGGGAAGCGCTGGGATTTTGGAGGAGGCAGGTAGCTGCCTTTGCGACCAGTGGTGAGAGTGGTGAGTGTGAACAGCTCATCTTCTTGCAGTTTCAGTGTGAAACTGCCATTGCTGTCGAGGAGCTGAAAAAGAAGACACTACTGTATTCAAGACTGGACAAAATAGCTTTTGTAAAAAATTAGCTTAAAGAAAAGTCCAAATCATTTCTGTTAGAACTTCCTAAACATTTGTGGAAAACTGACCAATACCAAGGCCCTTGGAATCTTTTTTTCCTAAGTATTTTAGAAAACTTCATAAAATTATGCTTTATAATTTTAAACAACCTTAATTCATGGAAGGAAGGACTAAATAATCTCAAAATCTATTTCTATTAGCCTATTCTTTTCCACTACACAGTAAGCTCCTTAAAGCTTGGATATATTCAATACATGCAACTAAGAGACCTGCTTTTTTCCCTCTCAGTAGTTTTACTAAGGTAGAAAACTCCATAAAATATCACTGTTGATCCAGTTGTTAATCACAGAAATCCTTCTACAATTAAGAGAGGAAAATCCTGCTCATTTTATGTTCAATATATATTTCAACTAGCAAGTTAGGCTTATGTCACACTTACAATCTTGGCAACTTAATCTCTTTAAGCCACAATCTCCTCATCTACAAAATGAGGAAAAAATACATACCTCATAGAGCTGTTGTGATGATTAAACCAGATAATGCTTTTAAAGTGCTAAGCCCAGTGTGCGACCAATGGGATACACTCCCAATATCAAAGCTGCTCTATGCTAAATGTAGACCTCTGAAGACACTGGAATCCTTTGCATAATCACTGAAGGCATTAAATCTATGCCCATTTTATGAAATTTGAACCTGTTTTTTCTACTTTGAATTAAAGGAGTTTTTTTATTATCCTTGTTTTAACGGTAGGTTGATGATCAGATCTATGAAATACCTGATGTTATATTCAGGTTGAAGAACAACCCCAAATGACATTATTTTTCTTATGGGGAAAATCAATTCTATTATGCTATTCCTAGCAATTTTGTTACACAAAAAGTAGGAACCTTTTTTTCAGAACTTAATATATAATAAGGTGTTTTATCACTATTAGTGACTAGTTGGTTATCAGAACATTAATAATAACCAGAAAAAGTGGTAGATTTGTGTCAATTAAGCGAAATAATGTGCTTGTTTGGGTCAATTCATTCTTTGAAACCTTTCCCCAGAAACCACCATGGATGAAGCACTGTGGGAAGCACTTGAGATATAAAGCTAAATAAGGCAAGGCTCAGTCTTCAAGGTGTCTGGTGGAGCAGGACAAGTGTTTAACTAGGTAAGCACATGGCCCCAGGTGAATATGAGCTAAGACTGGTGAGGAAGCTTCAGAGCAAGAGACACTTGAATTGAGTCTCAAAAGATGATAAAGATGAGGAGAAGTCATTCTATGCAAAGAAAACAGTATGCACAAAGTCACAGAAGTAAATAAACAGGCATGCTACGCTTTGAAAAATATAAGTGTAGTCTGTGAAGAGAGGCCAGTTTAGTAGGACACACATCTAGGAAGAAGACCAGTCTTCTACCTCCTGGGAGGATAATGAGGGTCATGTGCTACACTAAGGAATGTGAACTTCTAAGAAAATAAATCACTGAGCTCGTCTGAGCACAGTGGTCACAAAAATCAGATCTGCATTTTTGACATTTCACTCTGTAGCAGTGATGGGTGACCTGGAAATTCAGACTGGAAAAACAAGAGGCAGTTTCTGAAATCCAGGAGAGAGATAATGAAGAACTGAAACAAGAAGTAACAGAAGTAACAGTGGTAATGGAGAATAAGGAGTGAGTAAGAGAAATTTGTGGATACAATCGTCTATATTTGACCACTGGTGGGATACAGAGGGTGAATGGGAAAGACAGAGAGTCTCAAATGGGACTCAAATTTCCGACCTGGGCAGTCAGGTGATGGCGTCACCATCCACCAAGACAAACTAAATGTCTAAGAGCTGAACACATCTATAAACATACAAACATAAAAATAAAAATTATTAATTAATGAAATTTCTGTTCCCTTTTACTGTTTTACTGTTGTAATACCCAAAATATAACAATTTACTTTAAAATTACCCATAGAGAATCCAGCTGCTTAAAAAGAAATCTTTCAGATGTTTTTCCAAGTTTGGTATACCACACCTGTAGCTCTGGTATTTCACTCTGTAAAGAAAAGACAAAAAAGCATGGCTGAGTAATTCATCACATCCTCTTTGAGGATTTCCAAACTCAGTACCAGCAAGAATGTACCAATGACAATATTATCTCTATTTATCAGGAGAACCACCTCAAATATTAAATAATAATATTTTTAAAAATAGGAAAACATTGTTCAAGCAAATACTTTATTCTCTAAACACTAAAGAATTTTGGCAAATGATTAAAAAATCACAGTGTCTTTGCTTCAAAAACATTCATTACTATACCTGTGTAAAAACCTTTAAATTAAAATAACTTTCTGGTATTAAAAAACAATTCTTATGCCATTAGTAATCAGAAAGGGTACCGCACTTTCTCAATTCCAACCTAACAATTCACAGAAATAGCAAGTATCTGGTACTTTTTTAAAATATTTTTGGCATAGTATACTGTAAATATCAATGCTTGAAAGTTCCCTAGACCATACAATGCTTCTACCACCAAGAACAACTTTCTGGCAAGTGACTTTTGTAAGTGTTCCTCAAAGTCACCGAGCATTTTACCTCCTACTGGCTTCTGTCCTGTTAGATTAAAGCAAGTCAGAAGACAGAAGACACCAGGGCCTCTGTCAATTCATATGCAAACTGTTAATAGTTCATAATATGAGGCTCCACTTAAGAACTACTGGCCTGTGATAGAATATACAAATTCTTAAATCAAAACAAAAATAAAGTTAAACATATTTACTTACAAAAGATCCCTTAAGAACAAAAGTAGCAAATTGTTGTGACACATTGAAATAAGGAAGAAATGGCCGTATGCACTTAGAATGTTTATGACTCTGAAAAAAAAAAAAACCACATACATTATCCAAATGATGTATAAGCTACCTTAGGGGAAAAAAAGTCCAATAGTTAATGCCCAAGATTAACAGAAATTAACATATACTAGATAACAAATATGAGTTTATTTCACATTTTTAAAGACTTTCTTATATTATTATCTTTACTGAATGTGTATTGTATGTTCCTAGTCAAATGCAAAGGTCAGTGGCATTTCAACTGGATCAAATTTTGAATTCATAGCTAAACTGTAGAAACATATGGCACGCAGATTAATTTTTTGTTATAACTGTTTTCCAACTAAAATACATCAAATAAAAAGCAAAAGCAAGGCTGTTTTCACTGAAAAGATATCTCATCTATATATAACTTTCGTTCTCATGTAAGAAGTAAAATATATATATATAATGGATGTGTATATATATAGTATACATAGATATCAAATACACACTAAGGTCAGCTAAATATATGTAACAGTTCTCACACTGCCATCATTTTTTACTAAATAGTCACTACTATGGGCTGGGATCAAAAGAAGTATGAGATATAATCCCTACTTTAAGAGATTCTACAGTCACAGAATACTTACAGTACAGTTTTATTTCAGGCTTTGCAGACAATTAAAAAACTACTTTCATAATCAGAGATTTCAATACCCATCTCTTAGTAATTGATAGTACAACTAGATGGACAATCAGCAAGGATATAAGAGATTTGAACAACACTACCAAACAAAGTGCCTTGACATCTATAAATGACTACATCTAGCAATAGCAGGATGCAAATTCTTTTCAAGTGCACATGGAACATTGACCAAACTACACTATACTCTGATCCATGAAGCAAGTCCTCATAAATACAGGAAGATTCAAGTCACAAAAAGTACTTTTTAAACCACAACAGAATTAAATCAGAAATGAATAACTGAAAACCTTCTGGAAAAGTCAAAAATATTTACAAACTATCAAATTTCTAAATAATCAATAGATCAAAGGCAAAATAAAAAGAGAAATTAGAATTTTCAGCTTTATGAAAATGAAAACACAACATATCACAATTTGTGATACGCCACTAAAGCAATACTTAGGAGGACATTTACAGTACTAAATACCTAGATTAGAAATCAAGAAAGGATTTGAGAGTTCAGCTTCTGTCTTGAGATACTAGAAAAATAGGAGCAAATTTTAAAAGATTATAAATTGGGTTCAGTGTATACTGCTCGGGTTGGGTGCACCAAAATCTCACAAATCACCACTAAAGAACTTATGTAACCAAATACCACTTGTTCCCCAAAAAACTGTGGAAATAAATTTTTTTAAAAAAGTAAAAATAAAAATAAACAAAAAAACAAAATAAGCAAGGAAAATAATAATGAGCAAAGAAGAATCAATTAAACAAAAACAAATTTAAAAACCACAAGAAAATAATAAAACCAAAAGCTGATCCTTTGAGAAGATCAATACAGTTGAAAAACTTCTAGCCAGACTAATAAAAGATCAGGTTGACAGAAAACATACATTTCAACAATAAGAAAGGTGACATCACTAGAGATTAGAGATTTACCTAAGGGGACAGGCAAGGCATGAAATAGCTTCAAACCTTTTCTTAAAGGAATTGATACTTGACACAGAGCATAGAGACGTTTAAGACTAATGTTGCTCTAAAATATAATGGAGGTTTTGGTGAAAAGAAAATAAGAGACCAGTAGCTTCACCATAGGCATAAGCTAAACCACAGCCCAGCCTAGCATCCTGTTGAGAACCAAAAAAAAAAAAAGAAAAGAAAAGAAAAAAAGTGACAGTTAAAAAAAAAAAATCTCCTGTGGTCAGAAGAAAACTGAAATACTAACCTCAAACCACCCCTGAAAATGAGCTGGAATTTAATTGGATCAGTCTTTGCAACAACTTAAGCCGCCAGGGCATTGTTTAAAACAATACAGAAATCCACCAGCAGTTAGTGTAACTTACAGTGAGGTGTGATCAAGGAACCAGATAGAGTCCTGGAAAAACCAATGTCATCCCAGGGTGACTGTGGATATGCCCAAAGCCACATTCTCCAAGGAGCAACATTTCAGGCTTTACAGTGTGTATGGGGGAAGAGGGAGGGAACAGACTTAACTAAAATACTCCAGCAAATCACTAAATAAATAAATAAACAACAACAAGCCTTAAGCGGGAGAGGATCAATGCCCAGAGTTGCTAGCATGTATTATACATGAGTTGCTACTATATATTATATATAAGGTCCAGTTTCCAACAACACACAAAAAAGTAAGACATTCAAAGAAATAGGCATTATTTCATTCTTTTCTATGGCTGAAGAGTATTTTATGGTGTATATATATATACCATGAATATATATATATATATTTCCTTATCCACTCATCAGTTGATGGGCACTTAGGTTGATTCCATATCTTTCAATTGTGAACTGTGCTACAACAAACATATGTGTGCAGGCGACTTTTTGATACAATGACTTCTTTTCTTTTGGGTAGATACCCAGAAGTGGGTTTGCAGGAATGAATGGTAGATCAATCTACTTTAGTTCTTTGATAAATCTCCACACTGTTTTCCCTATAGGTTGTACTAACTTACATTCTCACCAGCAGTGGATAAGCACTCTCTCTTCACCACATGCATGCCAACATCTATTGTTTTTTGATGTTTCTTAATGGCCATTCTGGCTGGCGTAAGGTGGTATCTCATTGTGGTTCTAATTTGCATTTCCCTGATGATTAGTGATGTTGACCATTTTTTTCACCTGTTTTTTGGCTATTTGTATATCTTCTTTTGAGAAATATCTATTCATGTCACCTGCCACATTTTAATGGGATTTGTGCTTTTCTTGCTGGTTTGAGTTCCTTATAGATTCTGGATGCTAGTCTTTTGTCAGATGCATAATTTGTAAATGTCTTCTCCCATTCTGTAGGTTGTCTGTTTACTCCAATGATTCTTTGCTTTGCAGAAGCTTTTTAGTTTAATTAGGTCCCATTTATTTATTTTTGTTTTGCTGCATTTGCTTTTGCGGTCTTAGTCATAAATCATTTGCCTAGGTCAATGTACAGAATAATTTTTCCTAGATTTTCTTCTAGAATTTTCATGGTTTCAGGTCTTAGGTTGAAGCCTTTAATCCATCTTGAGTAAATTTCTGTATATGTTGAGGTGAGAGGTAGGGATGCAGTTTCATTATTCTATATGTTGCTATCCAATTTTCCCAGCACCATTTATTAAATGGGATGTCCTTTCCCCAAATTTATATTTTTGAATGCTTTGTCAAAGATCAGTTGGTTTTAAGTATTTGGCTTTATCTTTGGGTTCTCTATTCTGCTCTATTGATATATGACTGCTAGACCTGATAAACGAATTCAGGAAAGTTTCAGGTTATAAAATCAATGTATACAAACAATGTGCATAAATCAGCAGCACTGCTATATACCAATAATGACAAAGCTGAGAATCAAATCAATAATTCAATCTCTTTTAGAATAGCTACAAAAAATATATAAGAATATACTTAACCAAAAACCAATAGTTCTAAAAGGAGAACTATTATACAAAACACTACTGAAAGAAATAATAGATGATGCAAACAAATGGAAATACATCCCATGCTCATGGATTAGAAAAATCAGTATTGTGAAAATGTTACTACAATGCCCAAAGCAATCTATATATTCAGTGTAATTCCTATCAAAATACCAACATCATCTTTCACAGAATTAGAAAAAACAATCCTAAAATTCATATGGAACCAAAAAAAGAATCCAAACAGCCAAAGCAATCCTAAACAAAAAGAACAATCTGGAGGCATCACATTATCTAACTTCAAATTATACTATAAGGCTATAGTAACCAAAACAGCATGTTATTGGTTTAAAAACATCAATTTATATATAAAGTAACAATGTCCTACTGAGTTTGCATCATGCAGTGTTGTGATATGTGTGCTAATAATAGAAAAAAAGGAGAAAGGGAACAGACCAACAAGGGAATTCAGCATAATCTACTGGAATTCGGTTAGTTTAAATCTGAAGTGAGTCCAGTAAGTTAAGATGTATATGGTAAGCCCTAGAATAATCACTAAAAATTAACTCACAAAAATATAGTGAATAATTAATATTGTTAACATGGCCGTACTACCCAAAGCAATCTATAGATTTAATGCAATCTGTATCAAAATGTCAAAGACATTCTTCACATAAATAGAAAACACAACCATAAAATTTATATAGGAACACAGAAGACCACAAACAGCCAATGCAACCCTGAGCAAAAAGAACAAAGCTGAAGGCATCACACTACCTGACTTCAAAATATACTAAAAGCCTATAGTAACTATTAATAAAACAGCATGGTTTTGGCATAAAAGCGGACACACAGACAAATGGAACAGAATAGAAAGTCCAGAAATAAATTCATGCCCTATGACCAACTAATTTTCAACAAAGGTGCCAAGAATACACACTGGGAAAAAGGACAGTCTCTTCAATAAACAGTACTGGGAAAAATGGACAGCCACATGCAGAAGATGAAACTGGATCCCTACCTCTCACAATATACACAAGTCAACTCAAAATTGATTACATACTTAAATATAAAACCCGAAACTAAGAAACTAGAAAAAAACAAGGGGAAAATGCTTTATGACAATGAAGTGGGCAAGAATTTTTTTAAATAAGACCTCAAAAGCACAGACAAAGCAACAACAGACAAAGGGATTACATCAAACTGAAAAGCTTTTGCACATAGTTACCATGTGACCCAGCAATTCCACTCCTACATATATACCGAAGAGAACTGAAAACACGTCCACAGAAAAACTTGTACACATATGCTAATACACATCATTAGTCATAACAGCCATGAAGGGGTTCGAGACACACTGCCCCCAAATATTTTAAAGTGAAGTAATCTGAGAAAAATGCAGAAGCAGGAAGTTTACTCTCTGCCCTTCTCCTTCCTCCTCTGAAGCAGGTCGCAAAAGAAACAAAGTAAAACAGCCTACAAAATGGGAGGAAATATTTGCAAATTATACATGAGACAAGGGGTTAATATCTAGATTATATAAAGAACTTAAACAACAAGAACAACAACAAAATAGTCCGATTTGAAACTGGGCAAAAGACTGTTCAGACATTTCTCAGAAGAAGACATATAAATCATTAACAGGTACATGAAAAAATACTCAACATCACTAATCATCAGGGAAATGCAAATCAAAACCACAATGGGATACCACTTCCCTCCACTTAGAATGGCTATCACCAAAAAGACAAAAATAAAACAAGTGTTGGTGAGGATGTGGAAAAAAAGAAATACTTACTTAATGTTGGTGGGGTTGTAAATTGGTACAGCCACTATGAAAGATTCCTAAAAAATTAAAAATAGGCGGGGCATGTGGTAGCTCACGCCCATAATCCCAGCACTTTGGGAGGCTGAGGTGGGCAGATCACTTGATGTCAGGACTTCGAGACCAGCCTGGCAAATGGTGAAACCCTGTCTCCACTAAAAATATAAAAATGAGCCAGGTATGGTGGCAGGCGCCTGTAATCCCAGTCACTCAGGAGGCTGAGGCAGAAGAATCACTTGAACCTAGGAGGCAGAGGTTGCAGGGAGCTGAGATTGTATCACTGCACTCCAGCCTGGAAGTGCAGAGTGACATCTGCCTCAAAAAAAAAAAAAAAATTAAAAAAACTACCATATGATCCAGTAATCCCACTACTGTGTATATATCCCCCAAAATAAAATATGTATTGTTAAAGAAGTATCTGCACTCCCATGTTTGTTAAAACACTATTTATAATAGCCAAGATATGGAATCAACCTGAGTGTTCAACAATGAATGCATGAATAAAGAAAGTATGATATATATACACAGTGGAGTATTATTAGTCATAGAATGAAATCCTGATATTTGCAACAACATGGAGGAATAAGTGTTAAGTGAAATAAGCCAGACACAATAAGACAAACACCTCATCACACTTACATGTGGAATTTAAAAAAAGAAGAGTTGACATCACAGATGCAGAGAGTAGAACAGTGGTTACCAGACACTTGGGTAGGGCTGGGGAGGGAAGGACAGGAAGAGGTCGGTCGATGGGTCCAAAGTACCTATTGCACAGGAGGTATAAGCTCTGGTGTTTTATTGCACACTAGGGTGAAGATGGTTAACAGTAAGGTTTTGTGTATTACAAAACAGCTAGAAGAGAGGCTTTTGAATGCTTTCATTACAAAGAAATGATAAATTCATGAGGTGATGGGCATACCCTGAGTTGATCATTATCCCACATGTATGTATCAAAACATCAAATTGTACCGTGTGTCAATAAAAAAACAAAAATTTCCTGATTTCAAAAGTTACCAGATAGCTACAGTACTTAAGACAGTGTGGTGCTCACATTAGGATACATATATAGGCCAACAGAATAAAATTGAGGTTCCAGAAATAAACCCTCAAATTTATTGCCAATTGATTTTCAACAAGGGTGCCACGACAATTCAATGAAAAAGGAATAGTCTTTTCAAAAAATAGTGCAGGGACAACTGGATATCAAAATGCAAAAGAATCAAGTTGGACACACATATAACCCCAGTTAAGAAAGAAAATGGACCAAAAATCTAAATTTAAGAATTAAAACTCTAAAACTCTTAAAGGAATACATAAACATAAATCTTCAGAACCTTGAATTAGGCAATAATTTCTTAGATATGACACCAAAAGCACAAGAAACAAAAGAGAAAACAAACTGGACTTCATCACAATTTAAAACTTTTTTTAATTCAAAGGGTACCATTAAGAAAATGAAAGACAACCCATACAAAGGGAGAAAATATCTGCAAATTATATTTCTGATTTCTGATAAGGAATTTTTATATAGAATAAAGAACACTTATGACTCAATAATAAAAACACAAATATTCCAATCTAAAAATGGGGAGAGTTTAAACAGACATTTCTCCAAAGAAGATATACTACTTGCCAATAAGCACATGAAAAGATCCCCACATCATTAGTCCCTAGGAAAATGCAAATCGAACTACAATAACAGCACTTCATATCCACTAGGATGGCTATAATCAAAGGCACAGACAATAAGAACTGTTGGGGAGGATGTGGAAAATTGTAAGCTTCATAAACTACTGGTGGCAATGTAAAATGGTATAGTAACTTTGGAAAACAATTTGGTAGTTCCTCAAAATCCTAAAGACAGAGTTACCATGTGACCTAGCAATTCCACTCCTACATATATACCCAAGAGAACTGAAAACACATCCACAGAAAAACTTGTACACACATGCTAATCCACATCATTAGTCATAACAGCCATGAAGGGGTTCAAGACACACTGCCCCCAAATATTTTAAAGTGAAGTAATCTGAGAAAAATGCAGAAGCAGGAAGTTTACTCTCTGACCTTCTCCTTTCTCCTCTGAAGCAGGTCATAAGACCCTCATTCAACAGGTGCTCTCCCTATATTCCTTATCTCTGAAGACAGTTTCTGGTGAAGATGAGATGCCTACTCACTCTACGACCCTGCAGATGAGATCCTGAGACACTGACAAAAAGTTGGCAGAAAGGTAAGAATTCTCACCAAGTCCTGCTCTTCTAGATCTCTGCCTGAAGTACTTGATTAAGAGAAGACAATTAAAAACAAACAAACAACAAAAAAAACTTCTCATCTTTTCCTCTCCAAATTCAGATTAGCAGAAGAAAAATATTTGTTTGGTTTGTGACTCTTATATAAATTTAGTTTTGGGTACTCATTACCTGCAGATCCCTTCCCTCCCAGGGTCAGCTATTGCTTTCCTATTTGTCTCATTTTGTCCACTGAGAACCTGGCTTGACTTCACACCTGTCAGGGATGTGTGAGCTGTCAGTTTTGCGTATGCAGGCAGCCAACTTCAAGGTGGGGGCCCCAAGAGTACAACCGGACAAAAATGTGATTTGCACTCCATTGGCAGCTAGTTTACCAACTACTGCCAGCTCTGACGGGGAGTGGGGAGTAGGGAGGTTATCTGGGTCCTTCTTTTGACTATCCTTGGGAGTGGTTCTAGGTCTTTGGAGGATCACTTCTCAGCCTTTTATTTAAAAAATTTTAGCCGTGAGTCACAAAACATAGCACACAACTTGTATTTACATGGAAATACATAAGCATACAGACAGACGCCAAGATCTTATGGCTTTTATTTTAAAAATTTTAGCCAGGAGTCATAAAACATAGCACACAACTCACTGATTTATACAAAATATTCGGCTCTCATCCTTTCTCGGTGATCAAGTGTAGATTTTGGGGGGGCTGCATCTTTTTACACCCTCTTTTGAGAATCCTCTTCACCCAGGGTAAGACTTAAAAGGCTTATTGTTTTGCGTTGTGAGTCACTTAATAGATACCTTTGGTTTAAAAAATCAATACTGCCAGGAATATTTACTCTTTGTCCTGGCTCAAACCTGATGGTAGGCTATTTGAAAGAATTATTTTAAGAGTCTATGGTCAGGAGTTGGACAAACTGTAGGCTGACATTCAGAACCTGATATGATACACATAAACACACACACACACACACACACACACACACTCTTACACTTTTTTAAAGGTTACTCTGTTCTCTGTTTTGGATCTTACTTCTCCCATGGGAACTTAATTGCTAAAAATCCTTCTTCACATAAGCCCTGCTGACTATATGCACTTCCCATTCTGTTTACCTCCTTCTTGTTGGAACTTCATTGACCTCTTTGGGAAGCTTGAGATCTCCCCAAACTGGTACCTCTAAGACTTCTTCTCTCCATTTGGTTCTGCTTCTCCATCCACCTTTTTTCACCTTCATTCTTTCATTCAGTTCTCTTGAATCCTTGATATGTCTGCCTTCAAGCTCCTACCTCTTCCCATGCCTCTGTCCACCTGTCAGACCTATTCCCTTCCTACTCAAGCCCCTCAGTCACCTGAATTTTAAGCTCCTTGCTCTCAACAGACTTAAGGTCTCCCCAAAACAACCCAAAACAACCTGAGGATGAAAAAGGAAAAAGTCACAGCCTCCATAAGATGACATATCAGGGCAAGGGAAGGTCGTGAAGGTCTTCTCCACAAATATTGGTAAATAGGTAACCTTAATTTTGTCCCAATTGCCAGAAACAAAGTGGAGAAAAGATGAGAGCTGACTATTTTGTATAAATCAGTGAGTTGTGTGCTACATTTTACGACTCATGGCTAAAATTTTTTTAATAAAAGCCATAAGATCTTGGCATCTGTCTGTATGCTTATGTATTTACACGTAAAAAAAAGTATTCAGTTTTATATAACGTTATTTTTCCAATAGTAAAGAAGTGAGTTAACCCAATAGCAACAACAAAAGTTTACCATGGTTTCAATGATGATGGTGAGGTTCCCTAAGCCATCAGTCAGAGCTACATAGCTTCCTCCTTTCTCTAAATGGCCAACTGTCTTCAGGTAATACCAGCCAGGTTGAGTAAACTGAGTGGTATGAGCTATAGAAAAACAAAGTTTGAAATAAGATAAAAATGGCAATAATAGTATTTCTTTTGGAAAAAATAAAGCTGTATATCAGTTTAGGTCTGATTGATTCAAACAAGCTATTTTCTATTTTGGAGGAATGTATCTGTCAACCTCGTGTTTAAATTTTTAAATAATTAATCTAGATAAATGAAATAATTGCAAGAAGATTCCCGGAATGATAGGTAAAAATAAATGAACCTGTCAGTTCAAGAATATGATCAGTCTTTTTTTCAAGAACACAATAGTTATTCCCCCGCAACCTTAGTTCCTCACTATTTAACCCATCCTAAAATAGCTACCAATAAAAAGGTTAAAAAAGTTAATAACGAATTTCAGAAACTAACTTTATGGTTTCAAACATATTTATTTCCACCACATGTACACTTATTGGTCACCTCCTAAGCTCATCCTAAAAATGCACTGAGCAATATACCATGTCCCAACCCTTGGAAAAGTCACAAAATTAAGAGCATTAGTTCATCTAGATAATGCGGGGCCAACAATTTCAACATTCAAGGGGCTGATATACAAGTCTAACCTTAATTTTCTCATATGATTCTCAATATTAGAATATACAAGTTTATTATACAAGTCTAACCTTAATTTTCTCATATTTTTGGGAGGATAATTGAAGGAGTTTAGAATAACATCATGATTACATGATTAATATGATTACAAATCTGTCTTAGGAGAGCACAACTAAAAGGGAAAACCACCAAATTTAAGTTTAATATAAAAACAAATTCACTCCAAATTCATAATTTTCTTCTGAAAGGATTTTACCTTTAAAGAAATTAGCTTTTTAGAAAGATTGTTAGGATTTTTAAACAAAATGGTCATAAATGTTTAATATTTTACAAAAAAAAATTGCAGAAAAAATTTCAACATTATTCAGCAACAGATTTTGTTATTTTGTTTAGATTATATTCACTATTAGTATGGTTATATCTCTTCATGAAAAAGTGACACTATGCCATGCATCCCTGCATAATCTCAACTTCCCTTGTGACTAAGGAATGATACTGTACCGAAACTTTTGTATTTCAATAAAAAATGGATGTATTATCTATAGCCCTGCTCATTGTCTCTGAGCTATATAAATTATGTCTTGTCTGGTAGAAATTTAATTAATTTCTTCCCTGTTGTGGGAAACCCAACTTACCTCCATTGACAATTCATCTCCAGTTCCCTTACACTACAAAAATGTGTGCTATGCTGACTTTTTATTTGAACTGTTTCTAACATCTGCCATGTGCCAGGATCCTTCGTATCATATGGGTAACATAAAATCTTCAGTATATGCTCATTTTAAATCTTTATAAGCTTTACATTGTTACCTATTTTGAAATTTACCTTTTCACAACCCACATTTCACAGATTTAGGGGACAGTATAAAGCCATATTTCACATAACTTTCATATTTACTTATTCATTTGATGACTCAATAAATATAGTATTTTTAATCATCTACCTTTGATTTTGCTAGCATATTATTCTAATTGAAACTATATTAATATAAAAGAACAAAGTGTCTCCAAAGCTAATCTTAAGACTTCTAGATACTCTGTTTACAAATACATAATTTTATTAGCAATTATCATCATTTGTAATTATATCCTTAGATGATTATTAATTTCAGCTCTTCCTTTCCCTCTCTCTCTCCTCCTCTCCTACACTTTTCTAAAAGCCTGGTCTTACAATAATCAGAGAGTAGTCTAGTTACCCAAAATATTCTTATAAAACACTGGCAAATCTTGCTTAGATCACATACTTAAAACACGCATAGACACACAGTTTATATAATCTTCTCTAAGTGTTTTTCTGTTGTCTCTTAGAGAAGAATTTAGGGAGTGAGAGATGGAACTGAACCATACCTGACACCCAGACAGGAGATTCTACCACGTAGTGACCACTCCATGGCTCCTGGGCTGTCATCAACCCGCATCTCCCATAAGGCAACTGTTCATAGTAACTAGCTACTAAATTCCATGCGATTGTGCTAAAAGATGTGTTTGATAAAAAAGAAACAGCAAGACAACTTGTGATAAAAATATAAATGTCTAAAAACCTGGAGTAAAAAGACTTTATCACAGTAATACACATCTATGTAAATGACAACAAAAGGATCACCCAAAATAAGAAAATATAAGTTGTCTAAATTTATTCACATTTTGAAAAATCCAGTGTTGGGTACATTTTAATATTTTTAATGGTGAATCACATGATAAAAAATACAAATGTATTATGTGCAAGATTTTTACTGAAAAGTGGTATAGCCAGAAGACAAATCATGCCTTACTAGTACCCGACACATCACAAATTTGAGTCAAATACAAATAAAGGCTTTGTGCATACCTACTTTCAACAGTCAGCCTTCTTAATGCCCCAGTTTCATGACATAATTTTTATGAACTTGACTCTGAACTGTTGCAAAGTTTTACAATTGAGAATTCTTAGAGTCAGACTGCCTGGGTTTAAACCATGGTTTCACCACTTAACCTCTCTGTAAAATGAGGATAATAATTACATCTCTCTCATGTGAGTTTGTAAGGATTAAATGTACTAATGCATAGGAGGAGTACGGAACAAGGTCTGGGCTGTAGTATTGCTATTAAATATGATTCCACTCCATCTACAAGTAGTAGTTGGATCCGACTGCTGATCTGCTTTGTGGCCCATTCTTTCTCAGATGATCAGGCCCTAACAGAGCAGGTGCTAACCCCTAAAACTTTGACTCTCTGGTTCTCAGGAAATCCAAGGGCAAAATGGAAGTGCTTGAACTTGGTATTGTTGAGTCTCTCACAGATTAAAAAAGCACAGAGCTTACCCACAGAATTTTATTTTTTTATCAAGTCCTCATCCAGCATTAAAAAACAGACTGACATTCTTAGCAAATCAAAGCCTTCTGATTCTATCAATACAAAGTAGAAATAATAGTCCTAATTTTCAAAACACCTTACTATTAGTGAATATTTTAAGTTCTTGTAATTTTGCCCATGGTTTGCAAGATACGTGGTATCCTGTCTGGCTAGTGATAGATGTATCACTCAAGACAAGCTTTCTGGAGGGCACTTTGTAAAATACATACAAAACCCTTCAAAATCTATGTATCTCTGACCATTCCATTTCTAAGAATACAGCCTAAGAAAATAGTCATGGGTATGTACAAAGATATTGGTATACAATTGATCATTTCAGTTTGTACAAAGCTATTAATTAAAACAGAGACAACTTCCAATTCTAAAAAGAGGAGAATATTCAATAAGGAATAATATATTTTCCACATCAGTGTTTCCCAACTTATGTAGCATCAGAATCACTAGGGGGCACTGACTAGATGGACAGAACCCCAGGAGCCTTCCCTGTAGATTCTCATTCACAATGTCTGGGCAGCTGCCAAGGAGAAGGTATAACAACAAGTGTCTCGGGTGCTTCTTAAGGCAAGTTTGGGAAATGGTGCTTTATGTAAGAGAATATTTTGAAATGCATTTACAGCATTAAACATGATGAAGTAGAAATATAGGTAAATGTGAGAAAAAGTTCCTAATGTCATGTCAAGTGAAAAGCAGTTTTTTAAACAGATTCTATAGTATGGTCTCAATTTTGTATTAAAAATGTATACATGCCAATATAAAATAGGAGGACATTTACTAAAATTGTTAAGGATAGTTAGCTCTGGATCATAAGACTGTAGGTGATTTTGCTTCTTTCTTTGTACCTATCTTCAGTTTTCTAAATTCTCTGCCATGAAGATGCCTTACCTTAAGACCAAATTAAGTTATAACCAAACTTTCCTTAAGTATCTTTTCTTTCACAAAGAGAAGAAAAAGAACAAATACAATATATAGCAACCCACATTAATATCACAATAAATATATAAATATTGGTTTGCTTTTGTTCTATGTTTCAGAACAAAAAAGAACAAAATTTAAGAACAAAATGTGGTTCATTGTTTAGAAAGCTAATTGCAATCTATTCACAATTAAAGTGTTTTTCAAAGCATTTAAGAAATGGTTCCCTTAGGAACATAAAAAGTTGTGTTCTCCCTTAAGAACATCTGTTTTTAAACAACAGATTACACACATTAAGTGATGCCATGAGGAATCAATCAGACAGGCTGGGAAGCAGACAGTCCACAAGACAATCAGCCTGGTCTTTTCAACAGATCACTGTCATCAAAAATGAGGAATAAGGAAGCTACTCTAGATTAAAGGAGACTTGAGGGGCATAACTTTTAAATGCAATATGTGTGTGTTTGACTATTCCTTTTCTTAAAAAAAGCTACAAATGACATTCTGGGGGAACAATTAGGAAAATCTGAATATAGACTGAGTATTAAAAACACTCTCATGTATGAAAAAATGATACTGTGATATGTAGAAGAATATCCTTATGTTTTGGAGACACATGCTAAAACATTTAGAGATAAAGTGTCCTTACATATACTATTTACTATATAATTATTAAAAATATATGTAGCTTGTCAAAAATCAGAGAGCTGCATGTATTTTGCTACATATAAATTATACCTTAATAAACCAGACTTTATTTAATATAGACCATATTCAAATATAGAAAATTAGATGTAGATTAAGTATAGGTATAAAAATAGAAAATGCTAATAAGGCAAAATGTTTACAATCATTGAATCTAGGCTGGAAGAATAAGGAAGTCCACTTTTTTCTAACTCTTGTGTTTTAAAATATTTTATAATAAAAACTCTAAAAGGTTTTTAATAACTTACGAAGTCATATAGCCATTGACATAATTCTGATTTAAAATGCGACCCCAGCAGCCTGCACCCGTGTCACTATTTAAAGTGCTAAAGTCTTCAGAAGACCAAAGCTTCTTCCCAGTCAACCTTGCATCTTTTACTGAATGGGTTCCAGGATAATGAGCCCTAGGGAAAAAAAAGGGTGGGAGTCAATGACAAAAGGTCACAATGTGGCACTTATATACATATATATTTGTTGAGTATATAAAAACACAAGTCTTCTCCAAGGTTTTCTATTTTAAAACAGTTGGGTAGCTTCCAGGTAGATAATGAATGTAAGCATCTGCTTTACGCCCTTCTGTCTCAGCATGCCATTAAAATGACAGCAAATAAAACAAAAGGGGATAAACCTACAACAGCATACCGGATAGGAAGGAAAATCATCAATAGATAGGAAATTTCAGTCTATTTCTGGAACTCACAAAATGGATGGAAGCATGTTGAAGGATGGAGGTAGCAGAGAGGGCCACAGCCTAGAACACCCCAAGAGGAGAATGAAGTAAAGATAAGATTCAGACTTCCCAGGGGAAGCTAAGGAGCTTGGGGCAATAGTAAATGAGTGAGGAGGAGGCCAAAAATAAGATTAGTGAAACCTTCATATAAAGTAGTACTCTCCCCTCTACTCCTGTCCTTAGAACACAGAAAGATAGCTTGGCATTTACTCCCAGGCCAAAAACAAAACAAAACAAAACAAAAAACAATACCCACTAATGGTTATTTCTTGAATAAAAAGAATAAACTACCTTGGGAAAACTAGAAATTACGTATCAGAGCAGAGGTGGTTCTCAACCCAGATGATTTTTGTCCCTGGAGGGAATATTTGGCACTATAGGGAGATATTTTTTCAACTGTCTCACCTGGGGTTGAGGATATTTGTTACTGGCATCTAGTGAAGAGAGGCCAAAAATGCTGCTAAACATCCTACAATGCATAGGACCAACCCCTACAACAAAAAAATTGGCCATTAAAAATATCAATAGTGCAGCAGGTGAGAAACTGCCCCAGAAAATGAATGCCTCCTTCATCCTATCATTCGATGGGAGGGGAGTCAGTCAGTGGAAGTATAAATACATATTCATTACTGCAAGAGTAAAATACTCCCATAATGATGACTGTGGAAGTACTGATTATAAGAATAAAGACAATAAATTTTAAATAGAAAATAGATTGACAAGGCCGGGCGCAGTGGCTCAAGCCTGTAATCCCAGCACTTTGGGAGGCCGAGACGGGCGGATCACGAGGTCAGGAGATCGAGACCATCCTGGCTAATGCGGTGAAACCCCGTCTCTACTAAAAAAAATACCAAAAACTAGCCGGGCGAGGTGGTGGGCGCCTGTAGTCCCAGCTACTCGGGAGGCTGAGGCAGGAGAATGGCGCAAACCCATGAGGCGGAGCTTGCAGTGAGCTGAGATCCGGCCACTGCACTCCAGCCTGGGCGACAGAGCGAGACTCCGTCTCAAAAAAAAAAAAAGAAAATAGATTGACAATCCAATAAGAGAGCACACTAGCTAAATAACTGTAGGAATAAGGGCATCTACTTTTTAGTTTAGCAATTATTTACAAAAAAAATAATACAAGCAAAATAATGGAGATTAAGTTATACCATAATTCTAATCTTTGTAGTTTGGTATAGTAGTATTTATAACATCAAAAAATGATTGTGAATACTTGTGTTATTTTTTAGTTATTTAATTCCATTTTAGGTCACAAATCTTTTAGGAAAAAAATCCTATTTGGTAATTCTTTATACCTAGTGAAGATGAATTAGGGCACAATATCAATTTGGCATTCCAGGATTTCATGAGTAAGAAAATAATATACAATATATACTGGAGAACATAAAAAGAAGTATTAGAGAAAAACGAGGTTCCACTAAGATTTTACTGAGTCACTAAACTCAGGTGAAAGCAGGCATCTATTCAGTATTGCAAATCTACACTACAAAGAAATCTAGCATCTAACAGGGTTAAGCAATCATCGTTGTGGCACTATAACACCCAACCCGAAAAATCTGGCTACTAGTCTTTTAACTAATATAAATTCAAAAAACTACATTTTTAGATTTACTCTTCTATCCCACAACTTCATTCTGTCTCCATGAAATTCAGCTTTGTTACCTCAGCCAAATGTTAATTTTTAATACCCCATCTAGTTGTCATCCAGTTGTCTAGTTGCCAAATGCATGTTTGGTGTATTTGGTTAAAATATATTTCTATATTAAAGAAAACCCTGGAAAGTAATATGCTAGCATGTTACCAATAAGCAGTAGATGTTAGGATTATGAGTATATTCTATCTTTATACTTTTCTACATTTTCCAAAGTCTCTATAATGAGCATATTACATTTACAAAATGAAAAAGTAACTTTACTAAAGTTATAGGAATAGGGGGTATATCCTTCATTCAGAAAATGAAACTGTTACTACATTCAAAACCCAAATGATTATTACATGATCTGAGCAAAGAAAGGCAGAACTAATACTAAAATCTGGGTCTTTCTCTATGTATATATTTATTCCTAGTGCAACAAAATGTAAAGACTCTTTAAGAATATAAATTTTTAATGTACATAAGCAGGCAAACATTCTCTATCATTTCACAGCATTATTTTTCAAACTTCAATTATAGACAAAATTAAGATAATTGAAAGTAAACCAACTTCATAGTTTATCCTAACAGAGGAACATATTTGTACTTTAAAAAATTAGAATTTTTGGCCAATGCAGAACATGACAGCAGCCCAGTTTCTGAAGCTCCTCAGTACTCCTCCTGAAGCCAAACAGACCAACCAGATAAGGGAAAGGAAAAACAGATAACACTGCCATCAAACCAGGTGACAGAGACTCTCCCCAGGAGCCTCACAGCATCAGAAATGGCCCAGGATCAGCAGATGGTATATGGAAACTGGAAGTGAAAGGGGACTGGCTGGTACTCACACAAAAGGAGTAGACCCTATCCTAAGTGGGAGAATAGAAGACCGACTCAGGAAGATGGGAACATCTTCACAGGCTTGAAGTTAGGGGAGAATGCTCAAAACCGTGACTTCATTAGGAGATCAAACCCAATACCGTAAGAGTTCAAACTAGATTTGTCCAGTAGAAATATAATATGAACCACACATACATTATAATTTTAAATTGTCTAGCAGCCACATTAAAAACCAGCAAAGGTCTTTACCACAATAAAACACATAAATGGAAAAAATTTAATTTAATTTACAAAGCAGAAAAACATGGAGAACATAATTTTAATGATATATTTCACCCAATATACCCAAAATACTATCATGTAACATGTAATCAGTGTAAAACAATTGTAAATAATATTTTTATATTCAATTTTCAAAACCCAGTGTGTATTTTATACTTATAACACACCTAAACTCAAACTAGCCACATTTCAAGTGCTTCCTAAACATATGTGTCTAGTGGCTACTGTATTGAACAACACAGGTTGAAGCAATAACAATTTCAGGAGAAGGTAGCAAATAATCAGGAATGACAGAGCTTCAACATGAAAATAAGCTGTTTGAAGTAGAATCCAAGTTGAATAAGGCAGGAACACTTCGTGTAAAGGAGAACAACTTTCAGTCAGTAAGAATGGGGCCCAGCAGAAACAGACTCTAGAAAGTACTGTAACTGTAAAACAAAAATCTTCAGATATAGCACAGGCCAAGCACAACATGAATGAGGCAGGAAGGAATAGTCTTCCTGTGAAGATGTGAGCCAAGAAATATCTCCTGAACAAAATTCCAACAGCCAAAAATTGGAAACAGTCTAAATGACCATTAAAAAATAATACACAGATAAGTTGTGGTATACTACACTTAGCATCCAACAGTTGGATGCTAAACAATAAATATGAACTACCTCTATATATAACAACATGCATTCATCTCAGTTATATAATATTGACTGAAATAACAGCTACTATAAGATGCCATTTAAATAAAGTTTTTAAACCAGCAAAATTAGTCCATGGTGTTAGAGGTCAGATTAGTAGTTATCTTTAAGGCAAAAACAGAGGTTAATGATTAGAAAGATTTCCAAGGAAAAATCTTTCCAAGAGGAGATATCAATAACCAAGCTTCTTGGGCACTGATAATTTTCTGGGTAGTGGTTACATAGGTACGTTCGCTTTGTGACAATTCATTAAGCTATAATCCGATGATTTTTGTACTTTTATATATGTATGTTTGTATGCTATACTTCAATTAAAAATTTTTTAAAGATGAATTGTTAGTGATATAGGAAATTAAAATGAGAGAATTATAGAAGAATTATTTTAAAAATCACATTTTAGAAATGAAGGCTAAACTAGAAGGAACATTAGACAGAACAGACACTGTGGAAAACACAGTAAGGAATATAGAATAGTAAGGATAAAATAATAGAAAACATAAATAAAGAGGTAGAGAAAAATTCAGAAAAATACAAAATAAAGGCTATGCAAATAAGAGCAAGATGTATAACTGGGACATCAAAAAAGAAAACTAAAGTAATGGAGTGGAATAATGATTTAGCTTATAACTTAAGTAAACCTTACTAAGAAAATACCTAAATACAGACATTAAGAGATGCATATACTATATATCTGGAAATGGTAAAGTGTATACAACAACTAAACTTTAAAGATGAATAAAAATATTCTTTGGGCATAAAGGAATTGTGTCAAGTTACTTATAAGGAAAAGGAAGTATCTCTGGAGTCGAAATTCTCAATAGCAACATTTTATGTAAATAACCAATGGAGCAAATTTTATGATACTCAAGGATTAAAAAAGGATTATATCCAGTCAAACTGTCCTTCAGGTATAAAGGTCATAGATAAACATCAATAAACATCTAAACACATCAAGAAATACTGTTTCCATTAGCACTTTCTGAGACATTTAATAGATAATTACACTTCTGACATCCAAGAAACTGAGGGAGAAACTTCGGCAAAAGACTTGAAGGTGAGCATTTAATATGTTTAATGGTAGAGCCAGATTAAAAGAAATAGTAATTAAATTATATATAAATATTACACACTTGGCTAAAGTACAACTAATATAGCTACATGAAATAGGACAAGAGGGAAAGAAGGTGAAATGTAAACTAAGTTTGCAGATTATCTGGGAGTAAACAGTTAAAACTTGTAGCTGTCAAATCAATATAGTAGAAGCTTAAGTTCATGTAAGTTCATTTAAGAGTACAAAAATTAAAACTAAGATAATTCTAGTAATTAAAATTCCATGGTAGGGGAGAAAAGGGGAGGAAGAAGTTATCAAATAATTGTAGTATTGCTTATAGTAAACCAATGGACAATAACTAAATGAAGAGAAAACCAAGAGTATTAGTATGAAGCAGTTCCTCAACCTCAGCACTATTAATACTTTGGGCTGGATCATTTTGTGTTATGGGAAAACTATCCAGTGTACTAAAGGATATTTAGAAACATCCGTGGCCTCCATCCATCAGATTCCAGTGGCACCACCCTACCTATTTGTGGCAATTAAAAATATTTCCAGGCATTGCCAAATGTCCCCCGGGAGGCAAAATTATTCTCAGTTGAAAATACTTGTATAAATCAGTATAAATATAATTGATAGAACAAAAAACAAAACTTGCTAAATAACAAAAGAAACACCTCCTTAAATAAGCGCAAAGTAAACAAATCATATAGCAGAATAGCTTGTATTAGTACATGGATAGTATAAATTATTCAATAACAAGAGACAATGTAATAGCATAGAAAACACAAACATCAGCTATATTTAAAAATGAGTTTAACTCATTGATTAAAATATAAAGATTTTCAGAGGCGCTTTAAAAAAGCAAAATCTAACTCTATGCTATTTGCAAGCAATGCACATAAAAGAAAATGGCCTTGAAAGGTAAAGAATAAAAGGGCAAAAATATATTAGGCAAATCCTAATGAAAAGAAAGCAGGGATCTCTTAATCACACAGAAAGCAGAATTCAGGCCAAGAAGCTTTAAATGAGACAAAGAATGGCATTTTCTAATGATAAGAAATAAATCATAATGAAGATAAAACATTCATCAGTATTTATGTACCAAATAACAAAGCAGAAGCTTCCACACAGCAAAAACTGCCTGAGATTGAAAGGAGAAACAGACCTAACACAAGGAAACAAACACACCTGGTAGCCCTGAACAGTTCAAGTGGACGAAATAGTTAAGATCCAAACACCTGAACAATATAATCAAAAAGGTAGATGTTATAAACTCAATTCTGTATCCTAATAAAGAATACATCTTAATAAGTCAAAATATGCTCTTGAGATAGTCAAGAAAAATGCGAAGGTTTTTTTCAGATTTTTAAAAATAAGCTCCTGAGAAATTTTCCCCAAAATTGTAAATAATACATTTGGTATTAAATAGCCACAATGCAATAAAATTAGAAATTAATGATAAAACAGCCCTACGAGATAAAACTAAGGCAGTACTCAGAAGAAAATTCATTACATTAAAATACCTATATCAATAAAAAATGAAGTACATATCCAAGTCCTTCATGAAGATACAGTAAAACCCATACTTTCATTTAATATTAAGAAAATACATTTAGATGAACACAACTTTGTTTTCCTTCAAGACTTCAACTATTTATGAAAGCTTTAACAACAGCAAAACTTTAATTTTAATTTCAATGTATAAAATGTTTAAATATAATGAAGAAATTTTATCTTGCAAAAAAAAATTAAGCCTAAATCTAACCTAATCACACCTTCACCAATTTCAAAAACCATTGAAAAAGGAGAGATGAGCAAGTTATTAAACTGTAGGGGTGAAATCAGTAAAATTCAGACTGACACAAAGTTTATAAGACAAACAGCCCTATTCTTCAACATATTAAAAAGAAAGAAGAGCAAGAACCTAAAGATTAGAACAGATTTAAATATCAACCAATCACAAGGTATGAATTTTAAATGGATCCAGATTCAATCAAATAGAACTATAAAATAATAATAATGGATATTTAATATAAAAAACTATTACATTTTAGGTATAATAATGGTATTGTTTATGGTAAGTAGAAAAATAATCCTTATCTTTGGAGACACACAGTAATATTTTTATGGAAGAAATAATGTCTGGGATTTCTTTCAAAGTAATGTAGGCAGGAAGGGAAGAGGAGTAGATAGATGCATGGATGAAGAATTGGCCATGGGTTCACAGTTCAGGAGGCTGAGTGGTAAGAACAAAGATATTCACTGTATCATTCTGCCTATTTTTGTGGACATTCAAAATTCTTCATTAAAAAAATAAAGCACATGGAGAGATCAATCAGTGTTCACACTGGATAAAGAACAAATTCTACATACATACATACACACACACACACACACACACACTCTATTTTTCAAATGTTTATATCCTGTGGCACAGTAGGAAAAACGTAAATTCACTTTTTTAAAAAAATGAACTCAATGAGGTCAGGGCCCAGAGGGCTAAAACGCAGAAATGGAATAAGGAGTAGGGGTCAAAACTATACTACTAAAGAGGCATGACAAAAGTTATCGTCAGTGACCATAATGAACCACTTACAAAAGTGTTCATGCAAGAACTTCCAGCCACAGAATATCTGAGAGTTAGAAACTAATTTCACGACTTTGCCTTTATAATTTCTAAAATTAAATACAGGTATTACTCTGCCCCTTAATCTAAAACAAAGCTCTGTTTTATGATCCCAAACATCAGTATGTTTTTTAAAAGTTATCAATACATGTTTGTCACAGAAAGATCCTAAAATACATTTAAAAGAGAAAGTAATGAACCATGAGCCATGCACGCTTCAGATAAGTAAATACAGGACAGCTACCTTCTGAGAATGTAATCAAAAGGGGAGAAGGCAAGAAACAGTCAATACACAGAGCAAGCAATCAGAAACTGTTAGTTTTCCAAGTAAAACATGCCTTACCCTATAACATCAACCACCTTGAAGAGTTCGGCATCAAGTAGCATGGCTGCAGAGATGGACTCCCAGAGATTATCACTTGCTATGATTTTCACTCGCTGGAGACCTTGAGAGTTCAGCATTTTTCTTAGTATCTTTTGGAGTAATAAACAGAAAATATGAAAGGATACAAATGAATTTTTAGCTGTTGAATTCATGATCAAGATAGATAAAGTATCTTTACAAATCAGCATTCTGGATAATAGCTTTTTTGTTGTTGTTTTTGTTTTTCTCAGACAGAGGCTCACTCTGTCGCCCAAGCTGGAGTGGCAGAATCTCGGCTCACTACAACCTCTGTCTCTCAGGCTCCAATGATTCTCCTGCCTCAGCCTCCTGAGTAGCAGGGATTACAGGCACGCGCCACGACACCCAGCTAATTTTGGTATTTTTTAGCAGAGACGGAGTTTCACTATGTTGGCCAGGTTGCTCTTGAACTCCTGACCTCATGGATGATCATTTCAATACTATATTTTCTCAATAGAAACATGCCTCCTACGGAAAATAAAAGCATTATCATTAAGATAACCTACTTCACTAGGAATGTAAAAAGAAAAAAAACACAAGGGGTAAAACGTTTTAGAGGATTCTCACTTTAACTTTAAAATTACATTTAACCATAGAAATATGCGGGGGAAAAGAAACAAAAATAATCAAGTAGTACTACCCTGAAATAACCACTATTATTTTGCTATGCATTCTTCCAGGAAGTTTTCTATGCAGACACAATAATAAAATGGGTAACATATTAATCATACCATTCGGCAAAATGCTTTAACTTATCATTTTAAGTATTTTCCAACGTCTTCAAATATTCTGCATTATTAAACAGGAGAGAACATAAAATTTACCTGTAGGACTGTCCAGCCACAAAATTAAAAGTAACAAGATAAATTCTAATGGGAAATAAATCCAACAAACAGCACCTATTTTAGTACTCAATACTTGGACCCCATGAAGACTCTAAAAGAAGTATGAGATGGAGTTCTCACCCTTAGGTGGCAAACACACTCAACAGGACACCAACACTAACAGGACATACTAGAAAATCAAAGGGAAAGTAACATACCAAAACGTATGGATTGCCTACATGTAAATCAAGAGCAGAGAAAAGGAGACATCATTTTACTCAGGATCAGGAAGATCAGATTTCATACCATAAAGCAGTTCTTGATGAATAGATACAAATAAACCCACCACTATACCCCCAAGGACTCGGAAATCTCTGGCACATAGCAGCAGATGCCCAATACTACTGGCTGAAGAAATTAAGAAAGAACAAAGAATTTCACAAGCTCTCTCTTCGCATTCCAACTTCTCTGAACTAGGGGAATTTCCAATTAATGTGCTCTTTTAGGACGCAAATAATAAAAGCTCCAATTAAATCCATGGTCTACTTTTCAACAGATGGTTTCTTAAAACAGATATATTACAGGATTTTAGAAAACGTGGTGAAAATTAGAGGTGGCAATCTAATTTCATCTTTCAAACCAGATCAGCTGAGTCCTAGGACACCCTAGAAGCAGCATGAACAGATCCTTCATAGCAAACCAAGACCAACTCTCAAGATTCAGTAGGACTGAGAATCCCTATCCCTCTAGCAGGAGATCAATCCTGAATTTCATCACCCTGAAGTTCTTCCTTTTCTTTGAGATGGCGTTTCGCTCTTGTTGCCCAGGCTGGAGTATGATGGCGCGATCCTGGCTCACTGCAACCTCTGCCTCCCAGGTTCAGCAATTCTCCTGCCTCAGCCTCTTGAGTAGCTGGAATCCCAGCCAGGCACCGTGCCTGGATAATTTTGTATTTTTAGTAGAGATGGAGTTTCTCCATGTTGGTCAGGCTGGTCTCGAACTCCCAACCCCAGGTGATCCGCCCGCCTTGGCCCCCTAAAGTGCTGGCATTACAGGCGTGAGCCACTAAGCCCGGCCTCTTTCTTCTTACAGAGAAGAGGAAGAGCAACTTAGTCAAATTTGCATTTTTCACTATGGATGGATCTAGTCTTTCTAGTCCTAGTCCTAGAAAATCCCAGTAAGACTGCTTACTTTTTTATACAGTGTATTTGAATAACATTCCAAAATTTGCAAGTCTCATGCTATGATTTCTAAATAAGTTTCCATCCCAAAGTCATTATGAATAGCAGCATTCTTTTGAGCAGTTTTATCTAACATATTTTCAGATTATGTTTTTGTTTTGGAACTTTCTCCTCCAGAAAAAGCTTAAATAGAAGCTCTATAAGATAAATGGAAAGGAACTTGTTCTGGTTGAACTGAATGAAGGTCCAAAGACCCATACTTCCATTTCCATCCACTATCCTCAGATCCTAGATGAGATTTTCCAGACACAACTTAGAAAACTTAAGACCACCACTGAAAACCACGATAAATCATAAATATCAGTAGCAAAAAAAAAAAAAAAACTGTAAAGAAACAATACCCTTGTCATCTTTATATAAATTCCTCCTTTGTATTATATTTATTTCTGCTATTAAAAACAAATGGGTGGAGCTCGCAGTGAGCCCAGATCACGCCACCGCACTCCAGTCTGGGTGACTGAGCAAGCCTCCATCTCAAAAAAAAAAAAAAAAAAAAAAATCTTTATTCTTTCCAGGGGTCATCTTATTATCCCAAAAAGAATGTATATTCATTAAAATTATCCAATCTGAGCACCTACATTCATCTGTCATTATTGAACTCTTTGTGACAGGCATTTCTTTTTTTTTTTTAGACAGAGTCTCACTCTTTTTGCCCTGGCTGGAGTGCAATAGCGCGACCTCGGCTCACTGAAACCTCTGCCTCCCAGCTTCAAGCGATTTTTCTGCCTCAGCCTCCCAAGTAGCTGGGATTACAAGCATCTGCCACCATGCCCGGCTAATGTTTTTGAATTTTTAGTGGAGACAGGGTTTCACCACTATGTTGGTCAGGCTGGTCTCAAACTCCTGACCTCAGGTGATCCAGCCGCTTCAGCCTCCCAAAGTGCTGGGATTACAGGCGTGAGCCACTGTACCTGGCCTGCGATGGGCATTTCAACAAACGGAACACAGATCCCAATAAAATCTTGCTGGAAAAAAAATGGCAAACACAAAGTAAAAAGTTTTTGTATCCTGAGAGATTTTACTGCAGGAAAACTAAAGGTTCAGAGAAAAGGAAATGAAGTCTGAACTGTCTGAAACACTGAAAATGTGTCTTAGAGCAACGATTAGTCTTTCAAACCAGGTTAATTGAATTAGAATGCACTGGAGTCAGCAACAGATTCTTAATAGTAAAAAAGTTAAAATAAAATAAAATATAGCCCTGGCTTATTTCACTAGTTTAAAAGAAAATGGAAACTAATACTTTTAATGCTTCCTTCAAATGAACACAAGAGAGACACATGTATAATCACAAGAAAATAAAACATAAGCTTTGAAATGTCAAATTTGGGTATTTAAAAAGTTCATCACCTTTCACTATGAAGATACTGTAGCAATGCCATCCACCTGATTACAGAGTTATCCACTATACATGCACCAACCTGGCTTCTGCTCTGTCCACTTACTGCTCTTATCAGACCTGTGCTCATAGCAGACATGACTTTCCACTTACAATCCCTGTGCTCCAATCTTATTAATAGCTCCACTGCCCCACCTCCCCAACCCATTCTGCTCCCACCAGCACACTCTCACCAGCATACTTCAGCCTGGAATTGACCTTGAGTTACCTAGTTCTGGCTGCAATAGATCTTCTCAATCTATTCCTTCTCCATCCCTACAACTACAGATTAATTAAAATATGCCATTACTGGCTGGGTGCGGTGGCTCATGCCTGTAATCCCACCGCTTTGGGAGGCTGAGGCAGGTGGATCACAAGGTCAGGAATTCAAGACCAGCCTGGCCAAGATGGTGAATTCCCATCTCTACTAAAAATACAAAAAAAAATTAGCCGGCGTGGTGCCAGGTGCCTGTAATCCCAGCTACTCAGCAGGCTGAGGCAGAGAATTGCTTGAACCCGGGATGCAGAAGTTGCAGTGAGCCAAGATGGCGCCACTGCACTCCAGCCTGGGTGACAGAGCGAGACTCCGTCTCAAAAAAAAAAAGTCATTATTCCAGTGAATACTTCAGCTTACTGATGGAGGTCAGTGCCCCCACTCTTCCTCCGTTGTTTAAACCATCTTTCATGACTTGTTTTTCTCCCATATCCCTTCACCTCTCAATCTTCAGTTCTTTGCACATGCTATGCCCCTCCTTAGCAACGTGGAGAGTTCCCAACCATCCCTTCTTGAACATTCAAATTACACATCACCTCCTCTAAAAGACTTCCCAATGAACCCAGGTAGAGTTGTCATCTCCTCTGTGTCTTCTAAGACCTGTAGGTGTATATCTGACTCTATACCACCCTCCCCAATACAAAAAATCCTTTTGGGCAGAAAACCACATTCTCTATCCTTATATTACAACCGTATGCACAATGCCTGACAAACTAGTGTTGAGCAAATAAATGCTCTATGATTAACTGAACGAAGATATGAAAGAAATGTATTGAACCTTATCTACTTAAGAACATAAAACACCCAATTTAAAGAAATTTTTTCCTATAAACACGCATGTGCAAGTATCTTTTTTGTATAATGACTTCTTTTCCTCTGGGTAGATACCCAGTAGCAGGATTGATAGATTTGTGAAAATTTGGAACTAGCCCCAAATGCCCATCAATCAATGAGTAGATAAAGAAACTGCAGTATATGTATACAATGGAATACTACTGGGTCACAAAAAGCAATACATTAATGGCATCTGCAGCAAGATGGATGGGATTGGAGACTATTATTCTAAGAGAAGCAACTCAGGAATGGAAAACCAAACATCGTATGTTCTCACTCATAAGTGAGAGCTAAGTTATGAGGATGCAAAGGCATAAGAATGATAAAATGAACTTTAAGGACTCAGGGGTAAAGGATGGGAAGGAGATGAGGGATAAAAGACTACAAATTTGGTTCAGTGTATACTGCTCCAGGGATGGGTGCACCAAAATCTCAAAAATAACCACTAAGGAACTTACTCATGTAACCAAATACCACCTATTCTCCAAAGACCTATGGAAATAAAAACAAAATTTTTTTAATATAAAAAATTTTTAAAACCTGAAATTAAATATTGTCCGAAAATTATATTTCTTGGAGAAAAGATATATATAACAAGACAAAAGGAAGTGAAAAGTAAACCAGAGAATAGCTCCACCTGAAAAGTAAAACTGCCATTTTTTTCCAATGGCAGAAGTTATTATGCTGTTTTTCCTTTCCTGGAAAATAACAATTATAGTAGTTACCTCATAGGTAAGGATGTGAGAATTAAATGGAGATAAATAGTTAGGAAGAGTTCCCCAGAAATTATACAATTGGCAGATGTTATTGCCACCTCTTTGCTAATCACAAAAAGAAACATGTACTATAACACACTCCAATAGAAAACAAGAATTAGAATATATGCCATAAATTTTGATAAAAGACAAAGAAAAAACAGGTACATTTCTTGAAGTCCTAAAAGTCTAAAATGATATAATTGTTTCACAAAATTTATCAGAATTCCAAAACTAATGAGTTTTAAAACAAAAAAAATTCAACACAATTCTTTAGACAAAGGTAATTAAGGACTCACAAAGAATTACACATGCTTTAATATCAGGAATATAAACATTGTTAAGATTTTGCTTGAATTTTATGTCACAACCAGCAAAATAAATAACTGTAGTATAAAAAATATGGTGTTTCCAACACAAATTTCCTACTAATTTCTGTGTTTGGAACTACAAGGAATTATTCACTAAAAAGTTAGAGACAGAAAGATACTAAAGTTGTACACACCTTAATATAATTGGCATTATATGACCTCTCATTCCAAATCTGCAAAACAAAAAGTCAAAAAAGTATGAATTGAAAGTTATGAAATGTCAGAAAGTAGATTATCATTAAGATACCATTTCTCTCATCATCTTTCATATTATCTGATAAGCCATTTTTTTAACTTTATGGGATATCCTGCCATAGAATTTACAGATACTTGTAAGATAGCATAACTTTTTTAAAATTAAAATATTATTTTTAAGAACCTTAAAATATTTCGTGGGTATTTTTCAAAAAGTAATTTATTCCAAAGATTTTCAACAATGGAATATTCATTAATTCATTTAACACATGTTGACAGTACAATGTGTGCCAGAGACTATACTAGGCATTGGAGAACTAATAGATAAGGAGACTGTTACAACAATTATGACAAGATCCCTATAGGCACACCTGAAAGCCAAGTATTAATATGTATACTGTATAGAAGGCATATTTTTAAGCATACACAGAGAATCACAGTAATACACTAGTCACAAAAGCAAACTCTGAATGAGGATGGATAAAAGAAACACATATACACCTATTAGGTTTAGAGTCATGAAGCCTGGGGTTTTAGAATTGAAAGAACTTCTGTAACTCCACAGTTGAGAAAACTGTTAATAACAAGAGATGATTCTAGAATCCAGGTGCAGGTCTTTTTACTCCAACAATACAGAAAAGAGTTTATCAATGAAGCTCCTCACCATAGCATGTGTTATCATGAGTCTAAAGAAGATGTGAATCACCCATTACTTGTGATTGTACCATAAGAGAAAGCTATTAGACCAAACCTACATTTAGTCTCACTATGGGTTATAAATGTCCTGACATTTAAGAAAGTTCTCTGGCCAGGTGTGGTTGCTCATTCCTGTAATCCCAGCACTTTGGGAGGCTGAGGTGGGCGGATCACGAGGTCAGGAGTTTGAGACCAGCCTGGCCAACACAGTGAAACCCCGTCTCTAATAAAAAGAAAAGAAAAATAGCTCGGCATGGTGGCAGGTGCCTGTAATCCCAGCTACTTGAGGCAGGAGAATCACTTGAACCCAGGAGGCAGAGGTTGCAGCCAGCCGAGATCACAACACTGCACTCCAGTCCGGGCGACATTGCCAAAAAAAAAAAAAAAAAGAGGAAAGTTCTCAAATATAAACTAATTTTCAGTCATAATTTGGGAAAGGATAGCAAAAACTAATATATTCTTTCTTCTGACTTCCTCCAGCCCTTGGCTCATCCTCATGCCCTTGGCTCATCCTCATGCCCTGTATCACCATGTAGTATCGCAGTTAATATGTTCCAGTGTCTACTTCTCTTACTGAATACAAGAGCTTATTAATCTTAGTAGCCCTAAAATAGGGCTCAATAATTGTTTGCTGATAATCTAAGTCATGGTTGCATGAAAATGTTTAAGTATTAGTTTTAACTGATGGTATATTAATAAGCAACTGATTATGGAGACCCAGTATGTGTATGTTAAGGCTCTGTGGGGTATGATGCAGCCTAAGGCATGCCTCCACCCAGCCAACAGACAAGCTGGACATGATATCATTTTCCATACTTTTTAAATCCTTAAAAGGTGTTAAGGTGTTAAGTAACAGTTTGTGACAGGTGGACACAGATTTCAGCCAGCCTGCCAAATCTGGCCCATTATCTGTAATTTTACAACTTGAGAGCTAAAAGTGCTTTTAGTTTTAAATAGTTACATTTTAAATGGCTATATATTTACCTCAAGATCCTCAATATTGCCTTTTGGCCCACAAACCCAAAACTATCTATGCTCTGGCCCTTTAATAAAAAGTTTGCCAATCTTTGGCTTAAGACAACAATAGAATAAAATAGACTAACCCATAAGCTGTCTAGGAAACACAACATTGTTGTAGGAACCAGAGAAAGTAGGGAAAGCTTTGAAGGAGAATTTGAGTTGGGTTGATACAAAAAAAAAACCAGCTCAGAGGAAGAAGGTATACACTTAGCACAGTTTTCAAAAGCGGTGACATTGGGATGGGCAAAGGGGAGCAATTAAAGGTCACATGTACTTAGCTTGTGTTATTATCAGATACCAGTAGAACAAATTAGTCTCATGACATAAAATGGTTAGCCAAAAAGTACCTTAGAACCAAATTATATTTTAAATTACAAATAAATGTCCAAAACTGAATCATATTTTAAATGTATTACTAACTCCAATATAATCAATGTCCAAATCATGATAACGCTTGGCACCCACAATCCAGGTCACGACATAATAGGCAGTCAGCTGAAGATTGACATAAGGCCAGTCAAAACCTTTTCCCAGCCATCCAGGGAATGACCATGGCAACCCTGCAGAGAGAAGGGAGGAGGCAAAGGTAGAGGAGGTATAACAGTGCTGGCGCTATTGAAAATAAAACAAATTTTTTTTAAGAAAAGCATTCAACTTGCAAAACACCAACACAGATCTGACTAAAGGAAAGTTTATATACCATATAAAAATTATTGAAATCCTTTCCAATCTATAGACACTATAATTCCTTATTGATCCCTAGAGTCAGGTCCCATAATTTCAAATGTTCTTTCCAGGCAAAAGAAAAATAACAAATACAAACACCTCTATCCAAGACCCTTAACAATAGAAATAAATGTACCATATGTTTTAACTTAACATTTCCACTCACTGTTGGAATGTTCAATATTCAACTTCTGTTCTTTGAGGTCAAACCAAAGAATTCTAATAAGCTTATTCCAAACTACTCACTCCTTTGAGTTATGTATAACACAAATTTATCATTCACTTGTACATCTTCTTATAATTTAAGGGTCCTTAAAATATTAATCAGTCAGGCAATGTAATGTAGCAAAACTAGTTTGTTCTTATATCAATATAAATGACAATGAATCCATAGAGAAATATACCCTTGTTAAGTGATACACATCAAATAAGTCTATATTCTTCCAATAACCCTGATTATGTTTAAGTAAAAAAGTGAGAAGAGTAGAAAAGTACGTATTATAATTCTAAATTTAAATTGCTACTAATTTTAAATAAGCTCAACAGTTAAGTTCCCCAGCAATAAATATATTACCAAACTAGTTCACCACTGAAAAAAATAAAAATAAAAATGACAAAATGTTTATTTTCTAAACTCAGGAGGAGCACCCAAGTGTATTACATAAGAAATGTGACATTAAAGTAATAGAATTCTTGAAAACAATGAAATGCTAAATGCAATCTGAAGGCCTACCATGTGTAAGTCTTTGTTAGGACATAGTTTTCCCTGCCATATTTTCTACATTTAAATGAGGTCTGACCTTGGAAGCAGTCTAGCGGATATTTGCTAAATTCAGTGATACTTTTACTGCAAACAGCATTTCTGGAATCTTACAAAAGCCCATTTATAAAGAACATACTTACTCCTAATTTCTTTTAACATAGAAAATATTGCTCTTATCCTTTAATTTGATTGCTGAGAAAATTATTTTTTAAATAACTAGAAATCAGGCCTTTAGAAGGAATCATTAATTTCATTTAACTTAGTTTGAATTTAAGCCTGTTTCAAAAAATCAAATTCATTTCAAGTGATGAAAGTATCCCATCACTCTGATGTTTGAAATACTTCACAGGCTCTGTACGCATTCTCACAGAACTGTGAAATGTACATAGTCCCATTGAAGCAACTAGCCAATGATCCTTCCAACAGAACCTAAGCTCCACAGGTGCAGGGATTGGGGATGTGATTGGCTTCCTGAGCCCCTAGAACAGTAACCAGCACATTATTGAAGTTCAAAAACTAACAAACAAACAAAAAACACTTTTGTATGTACCTTTTCTAAAAATGGGTTTACTACTACATGTAACATACAATTGTGTAACTAGTTAGGTGTACTACTGCATAGTATTACCCTTTTATGAATACTGATGACAGATTTTGTGAAGAAAAGTAGTTTAGCATCATAGAAATATGGAATTATGTGCTAAAACTGATTTTGCCATTTACTAACTGTCTATGACCTTAGGTCAGTGGCATAATCTGTCTAAGCCTCTACGGCTTCTTCCTGCCAAATGGAAAGAATCACGCCTTACTTCACAGGTATTATAAGGATTCAACATAACATATAAGGGCAAAGAAAGGATCACCCCTGACACATGCTTTGCTGCTGGTAGCATACTGGTAGTATTAATGACATTATGAGCACTACCGTACTAATAGAGATACCACCAACATAATCCAGAATTTAAAAGTTAAAGGAAAAGAGACTGAAGAAGCATTGCAAACTTCATTTCTTACCAATGAGTGTAATATTGGGATTCCTCTTCTTAGCTTCCTTCATTAACCACCACTCATATCCTCGAAAATAATTCTCATCTAGTGCATAGTGCATGTGGGAGGGCTCAGTACCATCTGAATAGAGGAGAGCAAAAACGAAGTAATGATCCATGAATGGTACTCCCTAGGACCATCTCACTCCCCACCCCCACCCACGACACTCACTTCACAAAAGCAGTATTCCAGTCCTAATCCTGAAGTTGGGCAAATCGTAATCTTATACAACTTAAGGATGGATGATAAAAGCACATTATTTCATCCTTTTTTCATTATCTTAAGCATTGTAAAAGTCTTAATAAAACCACAACCTTCTATTATAAGCAGTACTGAGAGAAATATTATCATCTCATATAACTAAAAATTCCCAGTATTCATTCTTCTGGGCTTTTGATCTCTCTGTGGTTTTCAAATCCCCATGTCCAACTTTAAGTTCTCATTACCTCAACTTTCAGCTTATCAATGCTGGATATGAATCCCCGGGCTCCTGAGCCCTGTTCTCAGAACCCACACCTTTAGCCTATAATATGTCTTGATATAGGAAGAGTTTTGAGGGGAAAAAAAAAAAGGAATAAGTATACATATCCACTCTAAGAATAACAAAATTCTATACTAACATCTGCAGTTAGTAGAGGTTACATTATCTTAGCACGGAGGAAGTTAACTGCTATTAAAGTCCTCATATATTCCCACAGTTCACAAATATCTGCCCCTGCTAAGTTGGGCCTTCTGAGAGGCCCTTGCGCATTTCTTCTTAAAGGTAAACATCAGAATTCACAAGAACTGCCTGTTTATGTATCTCTACCTCTAATTTAGCTTCAGCAAGTGAAATTAGCCCATCATTGTCAATTCTGCCTAAAAGGTTTTAACAGTAAAATGCAATAGCTTGGGGAAAGTTTCTGTTATGGGGGTTTCTTTTGTTTTTGCTTTGTACTTTTTATTTCAACATAAACACTAATACCACCACATAGACATATCTGTTCAACAAAGAATTACTTCCAAATCACTAGCAGGAATACAAGTATGCAGGAGATACACTAGAATTCATTATAATGGAATCTGATCTATAAACAATAAGTTATATCTAATCATAGAGAGAATTTTTTTCTTCTTCCTGAAAAACAAAAGGCCTATAAACTGCCAATTGGTAACATGGACTACACAAAGCCAATCAAAATAGTGACAATGAAGACTGAAGATTTAGTGATTAAAGTTTTGTTTTCAAAAGAAAAAAAAGCTGTATCTCTGAAACACTGGTTACATACATTTTTACCACATATTTTAAGTTAATAGCACTTTATATGCTCTACATAAAATTAAAATCTAACTTCTCAATAAAATTCAAAACTGTCCCTATGCTCTGTCCTGTATATATAGATTTTAGAAAACTGTGGATTTGTTTACTACCGATTACTTCAACTAAATAAGCAATTTAAAGTCTGAATGTTGTTTTAGATGGACCATATTCTATATAATATTTTAAAATAATTACAGTTTTAAAATGAGGAACACTCTAATAAGCAACAATCAATCTCAAAAGTGTTGGTACTGTTTACACATATTCTGAAATCACAGTCCGTATGGTGAGGTATAGATTAAAATGCTGACAGGAGAAATCCTATCTCCCAAATTCTCCTACCTGTTGTCTGCCCATCACCACCTATTTCCACTTTTAGAATATGCAAAGAGGCACCAAAATTCGGCTGTGAAAAGAATTAACAGTATTAACATAGTGCTGTATTGTATGATGCTTCAAGACAATTACTAATTACTGCCTTAGGTTTTACAGACGCAAAAACAAAAGTAAAACTTCAAATAGCAATTTATTCCAAAAGTAATGCGCCATTTTTTCAAAAACCAGAATTTTGAGGCTAATAAATTATAGGTAAAATTCACCCTACAGTTTCTAAAATATCACAAGTATCAAGAAATAATTATTTTTTCATTACCTTAAAGAGATAATCCAATATCTGAGAACGATAGGGCTCTGGGTAATTTACTAGAAGTCGGGAGGTTGCCTAAAAAAATAAGTTTTTAAAAGTATGAATAAAAGAAATCCAATCATGAATATTGGTCTACAGTGTTCATGCACACCACCTGGTATACACATATTTAGCCTCAGGCAAGGTCAGGCTGTGGAAAAGCGCCTCACAAGTTGCTTATCTGCCCTTTCTGTGCCAATCACTGGGCAAGTAGGGCTGCTGTTTGTCCAACAGCTAAAAGGTTCTCTTCTTTTGGGATGAGGGTAAACTGGGAGGTAAGCTTGCTAACCTCATGATCACAAACTTATCTTGAAATTCAGGTTTTCTATCTTGAGACCAACTGGCAACAGTATCTCAGGGCTAAGATGAGAGGGATGAATGTCAGGAAATTTTTCCCCTTAACATCTTCCAGAAAAACATCACAAGCAGCAGTGCTGAAAGGAAGCACCACTTTCCCCACCCTCATAAATTCTACCTGTTACTATTAAGAATAACTAGCAATAACCTCCAGACCAGGCCGTACTAAGAAAACTTAACCCAAGAGTGGCATCAGAATGCATGGAAAGACAAGGGTGGACAGTGAGGGGACCAATAGCTGATCATGTCTGGCCATGGCATACAACTATTTGAAAAAAGAAATCACAAAACCAATAACTGACCTATAATCTATCCTTTGGCAGGCAATATAATCAAAAAATAAACAAAAAGAGGCCGTTTTTTGGCATGAAATAGTAGCACATCCTCAGGCTTGTAAACCGGACAGTCCTAGGTTCAAACTGCTGACACTCTGCCAGCTGTGTGTATGATGACAGGGACAAAATACTTCCCTTTTATGGGGTTTAACTTTCTATTTTATATTCTCACATATGCTACCACTGACATTCTGGTAGTGCCCATATCTACTTGTTCTCACACCCAAAACATCCCCAGTCCCTACCAGTGAGACAAAGACCCATGGAGCTGCTCTCTAGTCACTCTTCTCATCTACCTCAATATATCCCAAACCAAACATAGCATTTTTGCACCTATCTGCTCCTCTTCCTGAGCTTGCTGTCTCAGTAACGAACACTGGCCTCCACCATAAACTTGGGCCACCTTTTGTCCAAACGTCTCATGCACCCTCAATCACCAAGATATCCTTAATAGCTCTCAAATCCTTCCTCTACTCCTCAACCCCACTGACTTACCTAGGCCTTCCTCACTTACGAGAAAAGCTTAAGTGGTCTCAGGGCATCCCCTCTGCCTCTCCCTCTATCTCCCATGCTACTTACGAAAGCAACCTTCCCAAAACACAAATGTAATCGTGAAACTCTTCTGTGTAAACGTGCTAAGATCTTCCCTTCCCCAAAAGCTTTCAGGATAAAGTTCAAATTGCTCAATTTTGCACCCAAATCCCTTAATTATTCAGTTCCCAACCCTGATACTTTACCCCTTATCACTCTCACACCTTCTATCTAGGTGTATCAAACAATGTTTTCTATTCTTATGCCTGGAATGCACCCCACATCCTCTCTTGGACAACTCCAATTCACCTTTCAGCTTAAATTCCACCTCTTCAAGGAAGGATGCCTTTTGACCCTGCTCACTGACTTGATGTAAGTGCCTCTCCTTTGGGCTCCTTTGGCACCAGATCCATATCTCTATTATAACACTTTGAACCCTGCATCCTCATCACTCCTTTACTTTTCTGACTCAGCTCTTAGTTCCTTAAGGACATGGACTGAATCTTATTTAAGTTCGTATCCTCATTCTTTGTTATTCAATAAACACTTATTAAATATTTTATAGGTCTTTTGTTGCACAGGTACAGGCAACATAACAACTCCATTTGACTCTTTAAGTCAAATGGAGTTTTTATCCTGATTTCATCATTAATAAGCTATGTAATCAAAGGCAAATTATTGTAAAGTGGGCTATCTTACTCATTCAGCTGTTGTAAGACTAAAATTAGATGTATGTAAAGGACTTGGCACATTACCTGGCACATAGTAAGTTCTCAATAAAGGCAAGTGTTATATATAGAAATTTTTTAAATACATATTTCTCAAAGAGCTTACAACCTAGCAGGGGCTCCAATATCAAAATAGGCAATCTTTAAATGAACACTGTATAGGCACACTAATATATCCTTGACCTAGGTAAACAATGCTTCCTGTCCTACACTATGCCATTAAAACTGTGCACTTTGTTGTCTAGGGTTTATTCTGCCTTCTATGCACTCCCACATTTAACAGAGAAAGTATCGGCTTTAGGCAAACACACCAATTATGCCATTGCAAACCTATAGCCACACCTAACACAACAGCATAAGTCAAAGGCAATATAACCAAATGTTAAAATGCACCATCAAGCAGTAACAAACCATAGGATTACCAACCACACTGCCTGAATGAGGCCTGGAACTGTTTACAGGCCCAGGAAAAAAGCCCTGGGAACATTTCATCATCCAGTGGCCTTGAAATAACTTCCTCCTCCCTAATCCCTGAAACTGGTTATTAACCAAAATCAGTAATGTGAAAGACATCATCCTAAGTACTTCAGGTCTATCCTCACGATGCTCTTACCATGTGGATACATAACTGTATCCCAAAAAAAGAAAGTGAGACAGAGAGGAGTTATAATAGATAACCTGCCAAGGTCATACAGTGAAGTGGCAGAACGCAGAATACACTCTTGGCAATCTTCTCTTTAGTCTATATTCTTTATGTTTTGTTTGGTTTTGGTTTTCGGGTTTTGTTTTGTTTTGTTTTTTGAACGCAGTCTCACTCTGTCGCCCAGGCTGGAGTGCAATGGTGCGATCTCGGCTCACTGCAACCTCTGCCTCCCGGGTTCAAGCGATTCTCCTGCCTCAGACTCCCAAGTAGCTGGGGACTACAGGCGCATGCCACCGCGACCGGCTAATTGTTTGTATTTTTAGTAGAGACGGGTTTTCGCCGTGTTAGCCAGGGTAGTCTTGATCTCCTGACCTTGTGATCCATCCCCCTCGGGCTCCCAAAGCGCTGGGATTACAGGCGTGAGCCACCGCGCCTGGCCCTACATTCTTTTTTTTTTTTCTTTTTTTTTTGCGACGGAGTCTTGCTCTGTCGCCCAGGCTGGAGTGCAGTGGCGCCTAGCCCTACATTCTTAACTACTTACTGTACCATACTGCTTTCCCTCTCTGACATAAAGATTAAATGACAGCATTCTAAACACTTACTGCCACAACTTGGGCTAGGGACCAAGGACTCCACAAAGAAGTTTAATGTGGTATGCAAATATAATGTTGCAAGAATTTTCATTATTTAGTGAGTTCCTACGAGGAGTAATGCACTATACAGGGATACTAATAATTGTTGTATATTCTATCAGATTAGATAGGAGTTTCCTACTCTGAATTATGAAATGATTCTTCTCATCTTAGTAATTTTAAACTGGGCTTAATAAATCTAATGGAAACAAAGACTTCCATTTTTCGGTAAGCTCTTACACTAGATTTAGTATCACAAGTAAAGCTATAAAAAAGATGGGGCCCCATTTCATGAAATATTGGCTGTTTCAGGTTTAGACCAAAAACATAAAAAGGAGAATAGTAGCAGCAAAGAATAAATGCATTAGCTCATCGACCCACAGGTTTCCCCTGAAACACACATCAGCACTGCTGGAGAGACTGCAAATTAGGGAAGAAAAACATAAAATCAAAAAGGATCAGCTAACTCCAAGGGAAAAAAATTTCCCCTAGCAGGTTATATCATGTGGTCAGACTACCGACCAGGTCATCCTAGCAGCAGGCATTCAAGCTTGTTCTGAGTTGAATGTAAGGATGCAAGCTCCATCCAACTCAATCCCAAAAACCCGAGTTCAACGTTAACATTTTCAAAAAGAATTAGCCCTAGATGTAATTTCAGGTACAAAAACCAAAAAACAAAAACCTTCTCACCCAAAGGTCGGCCACCATGAAGCCCGTGGGCCCAGAGGGAGTACCTGGTAGTTTCAGGCCGCTCGCTTATATTCCTTTTAAAGACACCTTGAGGCACCAGTCCTGCCTCCAAACAAAATCCTATTCGGCGCTACCCTCTCTGGAGAAGCCCATTCTTACCCTGCACTAACAACTCCCCGGGACTTACGACTCCACCACCCACCAACTCCCCCAAAAGGAAGAGACACAGCCAAAGTATCCCGCTGGGGCGTTCTCTTTCGCACACGGACGCTCCCGCACTCCCTGGCCCTTTCTGGAGCGACGCTCTCCGACTGCCATCTCCGAGATGAAGACAACCTGGGCCCCATTGCCTGGGACTAGGACCAGCCCCGGCTTCTTCACTGCTTAGACCTGTCACTTTACTCTCTGGACCTCCGGATCCTCATTCGTTCAAACCTAACTGCCTCTGTGGTTCGTGTTAAACGAGAAAGCACCCGCCCCAGCCCCGCAGCGCACCCGCCCCAACCGCCTGCTGACGGGCACCCTAGGAGAGTGCGGCCGAAAGTGGAGCGGGTCGAAAGGCACGGCAACGCCGCGGGGGTTTGTGGGGCGGGCCTCACGGGGCGGGCTCTTGTCGCCCCCCGCGTATCCCCGCAGCTCGCCGCTCACCCCGCCGCCGCTGACCGCGCCGATGCCGTCGAACTCCCGGCCCAGCCCGTCGGAGTCGTCGAGCACGTACGCGCCGCCGGGCGCCAGCAGCGCACACAGCAGGAAGGGCACTGCGGCGCGGCCCGCCGAACCCGCGGCGGCCGTCATGGCTTTCACTCGGCGTTGCCGGGAAGCCGAGAGTAGCCACTCAGCCATTGTGTGGGTCACATGACTCCGGCGCCCAGGGAGGCGGGTCCCGTCGCCGCCACGATAGGTACGGGCAGGAGGCTGCTGACGCTGACGCCGCCGCCGCCATTTTGAGTGCGGATCAAGGGCCACTGACGCAGCCAGCGCAGGTTTGAGGAAGGAAGCGGCGAGCTTTTTCTTACTGCTCGCCTGTTTGTGGTCAGCCGCGGGATTTCACATGTACTTCTCTTCCGACGTCACCTAGTGGAGCACTTTAACGCAGGGAAAGTGGATGTCCAAGGTCCGCCCAGGGAAGAGGGCAATGAGTGGCCCTACCATGGCTCTTCCCCAGCATCTCAGGGAGTATCTACCTTGTGCAAGGACCAGGCTTGGACCCCAGGTCCCAGTTCCATTGTTATCTTGGTGGAATCAGTTTGCTTTTGGAGCCTGAGCTTTCCCGTGTATGAGATGAGGCGAGAAGAGCAGCAGTGAGGGACTGAGAGAAAAGTTAATAAGCACTCAGTACATGGAATGCATTCCACAAGTGGCAAATGTTAGCTGAGAAGGTTCTCCAGTCTGGAAACTACCCCGGCATATTCAAGGCTTTTAGCCTTGAAGGAGTTAATAATATACCACCTCAAAATATGCTGCTGTGGCATATTGACTATTTTAAATTAAAGGCGCTTAAAAACAGCAGGTGCAAGATCACTCTCATGGATATTATGTGTCTTAAAAGGAGGAGATAAAATTCCCATGTGAAAGATGTCTTCCCTATAAAATAGCATTCTTATCTTCAAGGACAGAAAGTTGAAGTCGAGGGAAATCTGTCCAAACAAAATTTGTTAATCCCTATCTTTCTAGTCACCTCTCTACCCAGTTAATTACTCTAGCCCAAGCCCCTTCGCCTTATGTTTCACAACTTAACTGTTTTTTGTCCATTTCACTCTATAAGCAGTTGACTCTTAACTACTGCTTTAGGTTTTGTTTTTGTTTTTGTTTTTTTAGTGAGACCCCCCCCCGCCATTTAAAATAAACAAATTCGTGTGGTTCTCTCCTGACAGTCCATAAATATCTTAAATCGATTTAATACTAGGGCCCTGCTGGGACCCTACAGGGATGAAGGTGAAATTTTGCCTCCCCTACAATTTTATAAACTATCTTCCACTGTCAGTTGAAGTGATTCCAGATGGATAACTCTAAATTGGTAGGAAAGTCGTGAATTGCCCTGAAATTTCTGCCACATCCAGCACTGTCCTGAGATTTCTGATTTCCTTGTTATTGAAGTAAATTAAAGAGACTCTGAAGAGCTGCAGAGAAAGATTTTCTGATCCCCAAATTTCTCTTAGCAGAAGTATGGAGCTGGTTGTCATTGCCTACACAAGCCCCTGAGATACCACAATGGCAAGGAAAAGACCCAGAGGCTTTAGGACCTGTGGGATTTGTCTGCAGAACCCTATTTGGAATCTGATTGTTTTGCCCCTTAACCACAAACCTAAATCTAAGTTTCAAGAACTCAATTATACTTGAAGGTCAAAACTCTGGGCAATCCAATAAATATGTACATCAGGTCCTCTGATATCCCTGAATGTACATTAGCTATGTTTGTTCTTTCTTTCTTTTTAAATTACATCTATCCTGGTTTACTAAGGGCAGTCACAACTTTTGTCTGAACGTAATTATTGATAATGCTCCCTTCACCCTCAGTAGTCTTCTGGCTTGGATCAGTTAAATAGTCCCCTGTGTCTGAACCACTTATTTTCTTTGGTTTCTGCTTTCCGCAGTACAACACGAATCTGAACTCTCTGCCTTCCCACTGCAACCAGTTTATGATGCAAGTCAGTAATTTTCCAGTTCTGTGGATTTACTGTTACAGAATTCACTCTGATCCATTTGTTCTAACACAATATATTAAGCATGAGCTGGAGCTCCTGTGGATACAAGCCATAGTAACCATTCGATCAAGTGAATGTTAAGCTTCTCTTACCAGCTCTTAACAAGCGCGTAAGACCCATGTAATACCGTGACTAGATGGGAAATACCAAGGTGATAACAGAGGAAACCACCTTACACATAAAGTTAGGAAGTTGCATGATGATGATGTATGAATGCCCAGCATACATCATCCTGTAGCACATCATTGTCAAACGGGTCAGTGGTCTCGTTGTCTGAGGTGTTATCCAAGCTTGTCTCACAACCAAAAGAATTAAGGAGTGTGGACACCAGAGTGATGTTGAAGAGAGAGTTTATTATATGAAAGAAGAAAGCTGTCTGCAGCGGAGAGGGGTCCCAGATGGGTTGCCACTATTACAGTTGAATCCAAAAGCTTTTATAAGAAACTCCTCTCATCTCTGTAGCTGTTTGTGTAACTTACTGTAAAGCTATCTGTGCAACTCCCCTTATCTGTGCAGCTGTGGGTATGTCTTGGGTAAGGATACAGTTCAGCTTCTCTTTTTTGTGTAACTCTGGGTTCTAGGTAAGCACCCTCTCCACCCCCATGCAAGTTCCCATAGAGCCCACCATGTATGTGCCTGAAAAAGGGGAGAAACTTTTTCCTAGGAACCTGCTAATCACCCAAAGAACAAAAGGCTTCTATGCTGGGCCTTCCTTTCTTTATCAGTGCAGCTGTTGCCTGAGTTTTCCCCCAGGCCGCTCTATTTGTGCCTGTAGCTTGATTTTTCAGGCTGTCTTTCTGTTTAAAAGAATTTTACCAAAGACCAACTTTAGCTGTCTGCCCAACTAAGTTTTCCCTTTTCTCCGCCCTCAGTTGCACCTTGTAGTTGGAATGCATGCCACAAATATTTGAGCAATGTGTGAAATCTACAAAAGAGGAAACAAACTCTAAGGGAAAAGGTAGCCTCACTCCCAGAAGTCCCAGTAGTTCCTATTAGTTCAGTTACCAAAGAAATTGCTTACCAGATAAATATTTTTTGTTTCTAATTTCTGATCTATATTCATGAGACCAGACATGAGGCAAGAAAGTTTCTAATAAAAGGCCAATAAATACAAGCTGACAGAGATCCTTGGAGTGCTGGGCACAGCCCTCAAATGTACTCACGATGTGAGATAAGGAAAAATGACAGTTATCCCACAAGTGATCATATGCTTAGCTTCCCTTACATCTGTGGATCAGGGTCAGTGAGATAAGACGGTAAGAAAGGAAGGTCCCAGTTTTCAGATTTTAAATGAGTTTAAAAAGTAATGACAGTGTTTCTGTCTCTCTGTTTAATCTGAAACACTTCAAGAATTTGCATGTTATCGTTGCTCAGGGGCCACACTGACCTCTGTACCATTCTAGTGTTCGTAAATGGTGTACCAAAGGAAACACGATGATTTTTCTCTTAAATAACAAGTGTTTCTAAGTATCACAACTACACCTCAGCCACCCCACATCTCTCCTTTTTCTAAATAAAATAATGTGACCAAAATCAAATAGTCTCTTGAGAGGGATCAGAGATCTTGCCTTTTGATGAAAATGTATTGATAAACTCTAATAGCAGTCTGGATTTTTTTTTAATTTTTTCTTTCCCCAAGACTGTCATAAAACAGTATGATTGTAGTCTGTTGTCTCACTTCAGGAAAAGGCTTTACTTTTATAAATCAGTCTACCTCCCTTCAGTCTACCATCGATGGGCATTTAGGTTGATTCCATGTTTTTGGTATTAGGCTGTCAGAAATTCTAGGGCAGAGGCCAGGTTTATTTCTTATTTGTACATCTTAAGCACAGTGCCCAAACTATGCTAAGTACTCAATAAATATTAGTTGAATTGAACTAAAGGCAAATCATAGCTAATGTACATTAAGAACCCAGGGTGATCAGAGGACCTGATGTGCATATTTATTGGATTGCCCAGAGCTTTGACCTTCAAGTATAATTGAGTTCTTAAAGTAGGAATCCCCTGGGACATAAGAGTGTAGAGTGTTTTCTCGAACTGTTCTGTAACATCTGCTATATTTTTTAACTTTTATTTTAGGTTCAGGGTACATGTGCAGGTTTGTTACAAAGGTAAATTGTATGTCCTAGGATTGATGTACAGATTATTTCATTACCCAGGTAATAAGCATAGTACTCGATAGGTAGTTTTTGATCCTCCCCTGCCCCGCACCCTCCACCCTTAAGTCAGCCCCAGTGCCTGTTGTTTCGTTGTTGTTTGTGTCCTTATGTACTCGATGTTTAGCTCTGACTTGTGAGAATATGTAGTATTTGATTTTCTGTTCCTATGTTAGTCTTCTTAGGGTAATGACCTCCAGCTCCATTCGTGTTACTGCAAAGAACGTGATCTAATTTTTCTTTTTTTTTTTTTTTTTTTTTTTTGAGACAGAGTCTTGCTCTGTCATCCAGGCTGGAGTACAGTGGTATAATCTTGGCTCACTGCAATCTCCACCTCCCAGGTCCAAGCGATTCTCCTGACTCAGCCTCCTGAGTAGCTGGGATTACAGGTGTGTGCCACCACGCCTGGCTAATTTTTGTATTTTTAATAGAGACGGGGTTTCACCATGTTGGTCAGGCTGGTCTCGAACTCCTGACCTTGTGATCTGCCCGCCTCAGCTTCCCAAAGTGCTGGGATTACAGGTATGAGCCACAGCACCCGGCTTCTCATTTTTTTTTTTTTATAGCTGCAGAGTATTCCATGTTGTATATGTAACGCATTTTCTTTATTCACTGATAGACCATTGATGGAGATTTAGGTTGATTCTATGTCTTTGCTATTGCAAATAGTGCTGAAATGACCATCCACTTGCATGTGTCTTTATGGGAGAATGACTTATATTCCTTTCAGTATATATTCAACATCTGCCATTTGTCTGGTCTTTCAACTCTGGACATGTTTCTTGATTGCAACTGTTAGGTACACTGCCCTGTTCAGTGACTTCTCTCTAAAATATGTTATAAGGCTCTATTAATTCAGGATTTTATATAAACAAAATGAAAATAATTCAGAGGACAGAATCCACCTAATGAAATAAATTATAAATTGCTTACTGAACATTTTCTTAAGTATAACTACAAATAAAAACTTCTATAGCAAAGAGCAATGTAGTATAGTAGTTAGAATATTGGCCCTGGAGCCCCAGGTTGCCTGGCTTCAAATCTTTCTCCAATGGCTTTGTAGCAGTGTAATTTTGGTTAAGTTACATAACTTCTTTGGGCTTCAGTTTACCCATCCATAAAATAGAGATAATGATGGCAATACATTAATGTGAACATTGGACAAGGTAATATTTATATAGCACTTAGAAGAGTGACCCACACATCCTATGTGTTATATGAGTGCTTATTATATAAATAATAACATAAATGACATACCTATGTAACTATAGTATAACTTTTGAGTTTACTGCTTTCCCCACAATTAATTCTGCAAAAACAGATTATTCCTGTCTTTCTATTGGTCTCAATTTTTCTTTTTGCTGGGTTGTTGTCTACAGTCATCCAAATCCATGTCGTGTGTAGCTGATTCCTCATAGTGAGAGTCTTGGTGTGAAGGAGAATTCTGCCTCCTTCAGAAGTAAAGGAACTAGATCCTCTCTCTTACTGTCCCTAGAAGTACAGGCTCTGACAACGACCAGGCTTTCTCAATCAGTTCCTTGAACCTGCAAATTTGACCTTGGAAGAGTAACTAGATGTATGCACAGTTGAGAAATCCCACAAGAGCCATATCAGAGTCCAGAAGAGGCAGCTGCATAGAGGCTTCATCAGCGGTGGCCTCAGATACCTAAAGCAGCGTGATCAAGCAGTGCCATTCTCACCTGAATGCTCAGGCAGAGTGACCTGGCTGTCTTTTTGGTCCTTTGACTCTAACCCATTTTACAAGTCTTATTCTGAAGTTTCTGCATCAATTTGTTCCGTATCCTGATTTCTTTCTTTCTAAGTCATTCATTTTCTTCTCAGGTTACCCACAGATGGTTTCTGTTACCTGCAGCAAGGAACCCTGATGGACACACCAGGTTATGATCCAAAGCTGATGTGATAATTGCAAAGAAGTGTCAGTCTCTGTGTCTGCATTTCTCCACTGTAAAAATTGCCTTCACCACCTGTAGTCCTTTTGCTGGTAATTGTTACAGCATAGATTTGCTCAAATAAAGGAACACCAGGAAATTGTATTGTCCTCCTATGCTTTACCTATGATATTTCTACTCTTCCTTGGATTGCAAATACCTACTTTATTGCACTCCTGCCAGGAAAAGAATTTTAGAATCCACCTAGCTCCAGGCCCCAGGCATGAAGAAAATGACTGTACAAGAGGTTCTCACCACTCAAAATATTTTTGAAACATCTGTTACAATGCTCTCCAACAGAAATATACCCCGTAGTGAGATTGCTGAATCACATGGTAGTTCCATTTTTAATTTTTTGAGGAACTGCAGGTTTTCCACAATGGCTAAACTAATTTACATTCTCACCAACAGTGTGCATGGGTTCCCTTTTCTCTATATCCCTGACAACATCTTCTTTCCTCTTTTTGATAACAGCAATTCTAACAAGTGTGAGGTGATATTATGTTTTCAATTTGCATTTCCCTTATGATTAGTGATTTTGAGCATTTTTTAATATACCTGTTGGCCTTTTATATGTATTCTGAGAAATGTCTATTCAGCTCCTTTGCCCATTTTTAATCAGGTTATTTATTTTCTTGCTATTGAGCTGAGTTCCTTATTTATTTTGGATATTAACCCCTGAGATGTGTGACTAGCAAATATTTTATCTCATTCTGTAGGTTGTCTCTTTATTCTGTTGACTGTTTCTTTGGATATGCAGAAGCTTTTTAGTTTAATGTAATTCCATTTGTCTATTTTCACTTTTGTTGCCTGTGCTTTGGGGACCATATCCAAAACCTCATTGCCCAGACCAATGTCATGGAGTTTCCTTCTATGATTTCTTCTACCAGCTTTACAGTTTCAGGTCTTACATTTAAGTCTTAACCCATTTTGAGTTAATTTTTGCATGTGGTGTGAGACAGCATGGCAGAGAAAGTCCAAAGGAAAGTGGACACATGCAGAGAGGGCCAGAGAGGTATCCAGGCTCTTACTGTGGGGAAAAGAGAGATCAGCCTGTTACTATGTCTATATAGAAAGAAGTAGACATAAGAGATTCCATCTTGTTCTGTTTTTGAGATGCTGTTAATCTGTGACCCTACCCCCAACCCTGTCCTTGCAAGAGACATGTGCTGTGGTGGCTCAAGGTTTAAAGGATTTTGGGCTGTGCAGGGTGTGCTTTGTTAAACAAGTGCCTGAAGGCAGTATGCTTGTGAAAAGTCATCACCATTCTCCTAATCTCAAGTACCCAGGGACAGTACACCGCCAAAGGTCGCAGGGACCTCTGCCTAGGAAAGCTAGGTATTGTCCAAGGTTTCTCCCCATGTGATAGTCTGAAATATGGCCTCGTGGGAAGGGAAAGACCTGATCGTCCCCCAGCTTGACACCCGTGAAGGGTCTGTGCTGAGGAGGACTAGTATTAGAGGAAAGAAGGCCTCTTGGCAGTTGAGATAGAGAAAAGCATCTGTCTCCTGCCCGTCCCTGGGCAATGGAACATCTCGGTGTAAAACCCGATTGTTTGTTCTGTTTACTGAGAAAGGAGAAAACCGCCTTAGGGCGAAAGGTGGGACTTGCTAGCACAATGCTGCTCTTTATGCACTAAAAAGGTTTATGGAGATATTTGCATATGCATATCAAAGCACAGCACTTTTCCTTAAACTTGTGTCACAGAGATCTTTATTCATCTGTCTTACTGCTGACCTACGATGATCCTATTATCCTGCTACTTCCCTTTTTTCTAAGATGGTAAAGATAATTATCAATAAATACTAAGGGAACTCAGAGACCAGTGCCGGCGTGGGTCCTCTGTATGCTGAGTGCCGGTCCCCTGGGCCCACTTTTTCTTTCTCTATACTTTGTCTCTGTGTCTCATTTCTTTTCTCAAGTCTCTGGTTCCACCTAACGAGAAACGCCCAAAGGTGTGGAGGGGCAGGCCACCCCTTCACTTACAACAGCCCACTCTGTCGAGAACTAATCTATTCCTGAGATAACTAATCCAGAGAGAGAACTCACTCACTACTTCAGAACAGCACCAAACCATTAAGGAGGGATCTACCCCCATTGCCCAAACATCTCCCACTGAGCCCCACCTCCCACTACTGCCACACTGGGAATCAAATCAACACCAGCTTTGTAAAGGCAAACGAACCATACCCAACTACAACAGTGAGGTCTCTCAGGTACATACTCCTGAGTCTCTCCTTGGAAATGAGGAACAGGTTCACTCCTCCCCAGATCACACAACTCATCTAGGGTGTTTGTCACCCACCCCTACCTCAGGGCTTGCTTGGAAGTGAGGACAGCAATCAAGATGCAGGGCCCCTTTCTCAAGCACTGACCACATCTAAGCTCTTGAACATACTTCCTCTCTCACAACGGTAAACTCAACCCCCACCAAGCAGGACAATCTTTTTCAGTTTTGGGGGCTGGGAAGTTTTACTTTATTTCAACACATATTCTCCCAAGCGTAGTGTCTGTGCCTCAGTCTTTTCCATGGCCTTGAGTTCCCTAAATCTTTTGAAACTCAAAACTCACATTGTCTTCTTTTTTTTCCACTGCTTGTGCCAGAAATTTCCTCGAGGCAATAAATGCAAAATGGTTCACTGATAGTGTCAGGGTAGTGCTAGAGTGAAAAGAAATGTGGCTGGGAAAATATAGCATTATTTCAAAATCTTACCTTGCCATATTTAGTTGCTGCTTTAACTAGTGAAACTACACCTAGCAGATAGTGTGGTCTCACAAAGGACGCCTTCATCAGCAGAACACACTCTTGCACTGTCTGCCCCATGGAGAATTGGATCCACAATCTCCTCCCCATTACACGATGAGTAGCCCAACTGGCCAGTGTTGGGTCCCCAGTTTGTGACCACAAGAAGACCAAATAATGGACTGGTCAGAAATGCCAACCCCTTTAAGGCAGTGTTCTGAATAACTACTTATTGTCTGATTATCTACTACTACTTACTACTTATTATCTACTACTACTTACTATCTCGCGTTACGTTGTTAAAATGTCACAGTGACTCATTGATTTAAAATTTGTAACCATTCATTATAAAAGATAGCCCTATCATTGAAAATACAGTATTGCCATATTTTCCATATTAAGAAGCAAATTTCTTAAAAGCTGGTAAATTTCTTATTGTGTAGAGTTGGCAAGGTGTTAGCATAGCTCAGCTCCAGCTTTTTCTCCTGTTAAATCAGGAGAAATGAAAGTTTGTGTTTCTTATGTTTCTTAACTACAATCTTTTTTTTTTTTGAAAAGCAAACCACATGCATATTTGATATGGACGTGAAAAAATATCCTTTCCCTAAAAGCAGAAGTATAGTCTATTCAGATAAAATAAGAGATCATGAGAGTAATGAAATACCTACGTAACAATGCCCTTGTACCCTGAACTTAAAAAAAGATATCCCGTGTATAGAAACCACAGATAAGCAGATGTACAAAACCAAGCAAAAATGAGAATTTTGAATTAGAGTCTTGAGTAAACTGAAATCATTACTTTCATTTTTGTAAAAGTTCAAGACACTTATTATTAATTTTTTACTTTATAAATTTTATTATTTCAGTAACATATTCTGATTTATGATTTACTATATGCTAAATTACTTTATAAACTTTCCTGTACTTTATAAATGTAAGGTATTAGTTTTATTATTCTTAAAGAAAGACCTACAAAGGAAGTATTGAAAATCTTTACATTCCTGATATACCCTGATCAACTTCAATATGAAAAGCCTTGCTTATATACAGGCTCATCTTTTCCATCTCGGGTAGGAGAAAAAAAGAAAAAAGAAAGCACCACCACCACCAACAACAACCCTTAATGTCCTTTTACAAACACAGATTCAAAATGTCCTGATTACATCTTTAAAATTAGGTTAAATATTTTCATCCCAAATCAATTATGTTATTTTAAATAATATTTTCCCTCCATTTATTATAAAAGTTTTTGAAGGCAAGATTCAAAAGTGGTATTTCTGACTTTTTTATATATCAATAGCAAGAAAGTTATAGGAGCTAATTTCGCTTCATATTAAACCGCTTATAGATTTGGCATTAACTTTAACTTGCTAAAGTACAAGAGTTTTTGTAATAACAATAAAAATCTTTCTCAAATAAAATTTTCAAGTTTCATAAAATTATTTGTCTCAGCTAGTTAGTTCAACTGCTCCTAGCCATCTCTGTTTCCAAGAGGAGACTCAAAGGAGAAAATAGTTCTACAATCAAATACTATATATCCAATCCCATTAGTCTCTCAAAAAAAAAAAAAAAAAAAAAGACTGTATGAAGTTGGCTACCTTAACCCCAGCCTTAAACAGCACAACAGCCATCATTAAACCCCTCAACCTCAATTCTCCCTTTTCTGTTTTTCTCCCAGGAACTTCATCACCCTGAATCTGTCTACAATATCCTCCCCTATGTCACGCATCCAAATGGCTCATTCTATTTTATCTGTACCCCTCTTGAAGTACTTCTTCATTTTGCCATTGCATTACAATCACTATTAAACATGTCTTTCTCCTTTACTAGGTAAAAAAAAACTTTCGGTTGATAACCAGTTCGTATACATCTCCCCGCACACTGCTGGCATGATGAGTGAATGAATGATTGAATTAATGAATGAAGAAAGAAATAAAATATTTAATATATATTCCATTAAGTAAGGGGCATATTATATCTGTACACACTTGAAATTGAGATGCAATGAGACAAGTGAGTTATAAAAATTACAGTACGGTAAAAAATAACTAGAAACATCTTTAAAAGTATTTAAGAGAGTTTTGCTTCAAACTTGGATAATGCACGTCCTTCTCATTGAGATGCTACTTCCTCATTGGTTTGTGGTGAAATATGAGTGCAATTTCCTGTCCCCTCAGCAGTGTTGGTTTCTCTTCTTGACTTGATGCAGGCACAGATTTATCAAGCTCCTCAGTCAACAAACGCATCACCCGAAGAAACATGGGTAAGTGTAAGATTAAAAAATAAAATAAGATTTTAAAATAGATAACATGCTTTGGCATAATTGTCAGCGATGTTCGCAACATTCTACCTGGTTTAGGCTGTATAAATGTAGTGATGCAAATTATTATAAGAGAGAAAGAAATGAGGAAGACACAGGGTTTCCTCTACTTTAAGCAGTGGTAAAGGGCCAAACTTTAAATTTAGAACTAATTAGGTAAAACTATAGATATAGAAAAAGGGGGTTGTTCATACTTTATTTTCTTTTCAGGAAAGAGTGCTTTGGCAAACTCGATTCAGTATTTAGGAAGAAGCCGACCACCACCTCCTGGCTTTAGAGCTATCTGGCACCAATCCCTCATCTGTACAATGGTCCAGTAAATATTTTTTATATCCATCAGAAAAAAATGTGATGTTAGGAACGAATATTTCCAGTATTAATAAATGTCAAGTAATAATTATTAGTTAATAAGTGACTACCACAGTGCCTGAAATATAGAGTCTTGATAAATAACTATTAAACTGATAAATGAAAGCAAGCATTTTCTATAACACTGTAGGAAAATATTTTACTTTTGATCATCGTCATCAATGATTTGCACTATTTTTAGAGCTGTTCAAGAATAGATACACTTTAATATACTGTAGATGGTCTTTTTTGACATCTGGTAAAAATTTAAAAATGAAAAACTCACCAAAATTTCTCAGTTCTGGTTCTAAAAACAATTTTCTCAAAATTTGATTAAAGGAGCCAAAATAAGATCTGAAAAGATGTATGAATACTGTAATAGGAATTATATGCAGTATTCCATGAAAATCTCAGATCCACCCAAATTAAATGAACAACTATTATCTGCAGAGCTTGGTATTATACGTGAAATGTTACCATACAAATTACACTCTGAGCACCTCCAGCTTTTCTGCTATGCTCTGGCTAGATGGCTCAGGATTATTTCTTTTCAGGAAATGTAGGGGACAGCACAAAGATTGGAAGCACACTACCAATGTCATTAAAGCAATATTACCAGCTAACCTACAGTGAATGCTTCCCATGTGCTAGGAACTTTGCTTCATATGTCATTTCATTTAACCCTCACAACAATCTTAGAAACTGGGTACTAACTTACGCATGTGAAAACGGGAACTTAGAGAGGTGAAGAAACACAAATGGGCCCAGAGTGCTTTTGAGAGGCATTTGAATTGTCTCCAGAGCCCACGCTCATAACCACAAGCCTGTACTGCCTCTGCGTCACTACAGAGAAGAGGGCCTCTGTCTGCTTCATCAACCCATCCTGTCTTGTGGTTAAGTCAAGGCAGGAAATGCTTTTACAGCTAG